TAGAAAAATGGAACCCCAGTTCTAGTTCTATTTTGATTCTGTCTACATTCTGACCTATAACCCTGCTGCCTAAGATTCTTGTTCACAAAAGTCTATGGTAGAAACTGTGAATAACCTCAAGACTTTGATCAAAAGGGCTCACACAAACAGACAAAGGAACATGAAGGGATGGAAGGAGGGAAGGAGTGAAGGGGTGGGAGAGAGAAGAGAGGGAGGAAGGCATAGGAAAAGAGAGCTGGGAGTTGCATTAGAGATGGCTATTATTTTCTTTCCACTCTCTTCAAAGTAACACCTTTAATAAGAACAAAAAGTTAAAGTTCCTCAACCCATCTACCTGATGCGACCAACATAAACAATGCAACTCAAGATCATTGCCTTAAATCTAATCTTAGCTAAATAATTCTACTTCTCTTGCTTTAATTTAATCTCTTATAAAAATTAATTAAAAGTGTGGAAGTGGCCTACTGGTGAGACTGTAAAAGAAAAGTATGAAATGCAAATAACCAGTAATAGACAATTCCTTAAATTGTGGTGTAAACAGACAGTGAATACTATGTGAGGATTTTGTTATAGAATATTTAATAACATGTAAGAGGTCCATGATATAGTAAGTGAAGAAAGCAAGTTACAAAGGGGTATGAAAAATGTGATCCTAGAGCGCTCCAGCCCACTGGCTTTTTTCAGTTTTTCAGAGAAGCCATAATCCGTCTACTACAGGGCCTTTGCATATGCTGTTTCTTCCTAAAATGCTCATCTTCTGACCCCTTTACTTGGTCAACTGTTTTTTACTTTTCTATCTCACATCAAAGCCAACTTCCTTTCTGCACTTATTAAAGTTTATAATTCTATGTTTTAGTAGTAGTAATGGTAGTAATTTTTTATTACTATTCGTACCCTAGATTATAAATTCTACAAGGACAAAGAATTGTCTGCTTTTGCTCACCATTGCCATCTCCAGAACCTGGAACATAATAAAAAACTTAGTATTTATTGAATGAGCCAGTGTTGCCTTTTGCATCCACAAACAAAGATCCTCTTAAAACTCTTATTACAGAGTTTTCTTGTGTTGCTAAACCCATGAAAGAAAGTAAAATATATTTCAAATTGATTAAACTCAATATGACAAAATTTTCCAGATTGATAGAGCAGATAATTCAGTTAGAGAACCTTAAGGTCTTGAACTTAAGGTTTTTTAGTAGTGTGGCACAGATCATCACTATGGAATAGTCAGTGATGCGCATCCCCTATGAGACAGTAGAAGCATAACCTTCTGAAGTTCAAGCTGCTTCATTTCCTTACAGAGTTAAAGCCCAGAGATGCCACACAAGCTGCAGGGCTGCACAGTGAAGCCGGCACTAGGGCTCTTGTGCCAGCATGCATCTCACCTCAGTGTAAAGGAGCAGAACCTGCCCAGTCCCAGCTGTGACACTGGTAGAAACTTCCAAGAGGAATAAAACAGGAAGGGGAAGTAGTGAAAAGACATTCTAGACTTAGAAATGTCTGAAAATATCCAGTTGGCTGGCATGCAAAGAAGTCCAGAATAACACAAGGCAGGTCTCTCACCTGATTTCTTCTCTGCCTAAAGAATCACTGTAACAGAGGATGTGTGTGGGTGTGGGTGTGAGTGTGTGTCCTGATGTGGGATAACCTAGGTGGCACCACTGATTGCCCAGGGTTAGCACAATGCTGGCACAATGTAGTTTCCCAGGATATATTTGTCCAATGAATGAATGAGTAGAGTCCATGTTCTTCTTGGTAGAGGTGAAAGGGCACATGGATTCAGTGAATAAACTCTGGAGCCAAAATGTCTGGATTAAAAACCCAGCTCTGCCATGTACCAGCGGTGTGACCCTGAGTTGGCTATTTAATCTCTCTGTGCCTCATTACCCGCAGTGTAAACTGGGAAACAACAGCACTCGCTTCAGAGGGTTGTCGTGAGGACCGAGCAGGTTAATGTGTGAAACACTGAACAATGCCAGGCACAGCGAGCATCACAGAAGAGGCTGTCGACGACGTCACTGCTGCAATTCTCGGCGAGAGCAAGCATAGTTCAGATGCTCTCAGCAGGTAACATGGCCTTGCTCTTAACAGACGTGATCAGATGCAAACACCCCCACCTCCCTGTCAGCAAATCTGAAATCCTCTGTGCCTACATTCGCCCCCTTGGGCAGCGGGTCCTCCTGTCAAAGCAGGTTCCTCCACTAGGCTCTGGGCCCCAACCCATTTCATCAGGACTGCCAGTGCCGTCATCCATCACCCTCCCTACTTACCATTCTCATCACGTAGACTTCCCTCAAATCTTCCAATCCCCTGAGGTCCCATGTTCCCCTCGAGTACCTTCCCTGTCTTTAAAATAACTCATAAAAAGAATTAACTATAGACTAAAAAAAACTTGTTTCTAACTGCTCTGCAATTTCAACACCCATTCTTCCCCCATTTTGCCCCACTCACTGGGAGTGGTCTTGTCAAGGTCACTTCCATGCTGCTGAATCACACGGTCACTTGTCTGTCCTCTCTTAATGGACCTCTTGGCAGCATGTGACACACTTGATCGTTTGCTTCTCAACACGCTCTCCTTGGCTTCCCTGCCACACACTGTGCTGGTGTCCCTCCCACCTCACTGACTGCTCTGCTCAGGCTGGTTTCTTCTCTCCCTACTCGATCTTTTGCAGTCTTGATGTTTTCAAACCTTCGAAATGCTGAGGATTTCCAAAATTCTGTGTCCAGCTCTGACTTCTCCAGGATTCCAGACTTCCATATCAGCTGTGTATTTAACATCACCTGGATGTCCCATAATAATGATGACAGCTAAGCAATGTCACACAGGCTTGCTTGCTTTTCTGACCTGCCAAACTTGTTCCCATCTCAGAGCCTCACTTGTGCTATTCCCTCTGCCTGGAACACCCAACATCATCTTTGCACTCTTGACTCTTTCTATTCAGTTGGGTCCTCACTCCATCACCCCCTTCTCAGAGAGACCCCCTCAGACCACTCCATCAAAAGTGGTCCCCGACCCCAAGTGGGTCTATCACAGGATCCTATGCTTAGTGCCTTCATAGCATTTATCATTAGAAGTCATCTTGTTCATTAACTTATTTACTGGTTAATTTTATGTCCCTTCTCCTTGTACCTCCCCCTACTCCTCCTGGGAATTTAAGTACCTTTAAAGTGAAAACATGCACTGAAAGGCAATGCCAGAAACAAAGCCTTCACTGTCGACGTGGGAGGAAACGACGTTTTGCAGGTGACATGTCTGTAGGATGCTTAGGGACATAAAACATCAGCCCCTACTGTGTGCCAGGCATTCAAATGCCAGGGATAGAGTGGTGAATGGGACAGACAACGGCATCCAGGGATGTCTGGCACATAGTGGGTGTTTAATATGAAACAATCACTGAGTGAATCTATTTCAGCTCACAGCAGTTAACATCTCTGCTTATGAATGGAAGGCAATAGAAGCATTCTCACAAATGCCTACTCTATTATTAGTTTTTGCATAGAAATGCATACACAGTTGTAATGCGTACGGATGTGGATGCACCACAGGTATTCAGTAAATCAAGACGTTCATGGAGTACTGGTCGTTAAACACCTAGGCTCAGCTCCACTTGCAGGCTGGCTTCCTGCTGTTTCATGTTCCTAGGCTTTGAAGGCTGTGTTTGTGTCTGGGTTTCTGACTTAGCTGCAGGATGTAAAAAAAACCCTGCATACTCAGGCAGCTTGCTTTGGCTACAGCAGAAGTGCCTTAAAAGTCAAAAGAACATCCCAGTGATTCCACATACAACTCCTTGATGTTGACACCCTTAGGAGAAAAATAGCCATTTGGAAATTCCTATTCAAAAGGCAAAGGAAATACGAATAGGACAATATCTGTCCTGGGAAGTTCAGATTCAAAACTTAGTTCTTAAGATACGAACTGTCTGGCAACCAGTTCCAAGATGGCATCTCCAATTCATGACATAGTAATATAGATCGTGGCTTTATAGACCTTGTATGACTATATACGCAACATCTGATGGTTTCCTCTTTAAAAAGGGCCGGCTGAGTAGCTCGCTCAAGAGTTTGAGCTCTGAGCAACAGCGGTTCGAGNGCAACAGCGGTTCGAGTCAGCCCGAGCTGAGCAGCCGCTGAGCTGCCAACAGGTGGCAGGATGGCTCAGCTAAAAAAAAAAAAAAAAGGAGAGCTGTTTATTAGTTTTTCTCTCTGAAAACTGTTTGCTGAGCTGCCAACTGTTTTCTCTGATTTCATTAATTCCTTTTTCCAGGTCCCTCCGCACTCCCACTCTAGGTTGGAGTAATGAATACATATAAGGAATCAGAACCTTAGGCAAAGACCTTTTATTTGTCGTTAGGCTTACATAGTTCCAAAAGTAAATATAATTCACAAAGCACCTAAAAGTACCAAGGAGGTGCTCCGGTACCCACGGAATGCACTGATCGTCATAGAAGGAAATGGACATGGTTCTTCATACACAGATGCCGGTTCAATCCGGTCAAATGAATATGCTGTTTTCTGAGTGTGACGATCGGTGGCAGGTGTGGGAAGAACTGCAGACCGTTCTTCACTGGGTTAGGCAGCCAGGCCCTCTGGGAGTATTATTAGAGATGACGGGAAGGTGACGATGATGTGAAGGTGACAATGACGGTAGCTACAACAATCCAGCTGTCACAACAATGCTGATGTCATCAGCAACAGCCTGACAGGATCTATTAATATAAATCCCTAGGGTGCTTCTCATGCAGCAGACGGTCCCTGATCCATTTCTTGGACAGACCACAAAATCCACTCTCAGAAAAGTGAATGCAGTGCGTACAGGTATCACTGAAGACACAGAAGTCCTGGTATTTGCTCATTTGAAAAAATGGTAAATACTATCACATCATTTGGGAAATAAGTCAAATCTAAGTTACAAACAAAATATACTGTTAACAAGCACACAGCTGGGTACGTTTCGATGGTATGGCTTTGAAACCTGTGCTTAGTTATAAAAGCACCACAAGCAAAGTTAATAAATAGCAATCTTTATTTTCAAAAAAGAAAGAAAAGAGGAAAGTGTTTTACTGTACCAAAATTAGTTCGGCATCAAAATCAAATTTTATGCAAATACCTTTAGAAACTGAATTATATAATTACAACATTAAAAAACAGAGTACTTTTTACAAATTAATGGATGAGTTAAATTACTATAAAGATGTGACTTGAAAATTAGAGCTATTTCAAAATACTATGTTCCAATGTCATTCTTTAAGAACCTAGAAAAATTGCCAAATTACCGCACTTTCCTGCCACTAGGATTTGACGGTACCCGGGGGGGGCGGTCTATTCCGAGCAGGAGAGGCATTTGGTAACATTCAGAGAAAAACAAGAGCAAAACACCAGGTACAAATTAATTTAACTCACTTCCTGATGCTTACACAGAGCTCATTAAGACTTGAAGAAAACATGACAACTTTGTTTTTCAATGTCGAGGGCACTCCTTTCTGGCAGCATCCAGTACACTTTCCTGTTCCAAGTAGGTAAAAAAAGATAGGGCTTCAGGGAGAAATCAAACACAGATGAACCTCTAAAGAAGTGGAAACGCTCCCACAGAAAGCTTCTTTCCTTTTTATGAGGCACAAACAGATAAAACAGAACCACCCTGACTATAGACGACAGGGGGTTTCATAGCTAGACTTTGACAATGTTTTATGAATCCTCCTTCGTACAGCATTATTCCTACCGAGTGACCAGGATATCATCTTCATCATCAATAATGTTCACCCCATTGTAATAACCACATCAGTCGGCATTCCCTCTGCTCCCTCTGCTCGCTCTCTCGCTCTCTCTCTCTCATGACAGACAGTCGTGTCTCTCCAGTCTCATGCTCGCCTGAAACTTTCATTATAATGAAGAGAAGGAGCAGGAAGGGGGCTTCTGGTGCCATTTATTTTCCCGTGACAGTAACAAAGCTGCTGTGTCACAGCTTGAGAAACTCTAGTACACTAATGCATAATACAAAAAAGCAAGTGATTTTTTCCTGGAAAAAAAGAATCTTGTTTACTTCATGACTGCTTTTCCTCTCCCCTCAAAAATTACCATATACAGTTTCCACAGGAAGTCAGGAAGGTCCTGAAGCTATGCAGCACACGCGAGTGGCATGATGGCACAGCAGGACGACGCAACTGTCTCCACTTCCGTTTCCTGCTCAGATTGTGCTCCCAGGACCCAGGCTTCATAACTCGTCCTTAAGGCCTTTTTGTGTCACCGTCCTGGCTTTGTCCTCCTCGCGGGGTGCCAACCACGTGGCATAAACTTCCACTGGGTTGATGTTCCAGTGTTTGTGGAATGACACGGGAACTTGGTGGGCAAGGTAGTCCTCGGGGTAGTCCACGGGCCGGGCCTGCAGGGAGAAGAGGATTATGCTGGTTCATCAAGGGCATCTTGCCCAGAACAGCATTTGAGTGTTGATGTGATGGCATCCTTTCAATATTTGATAGTCGTTACAGAACCCACAAGCAAGAAGGAAAATGTTTTCCACTAAAACCTCCCCTCTCACTGCAGGCTTCTTGCTGTTGCATCTCCAGTTACTTTAACATCCCAAATGCATCGCTTTTTGCTCTGTGTTCCACAGTCATGGCTGTGGGAGACCCCTCAACCACGGGTAATAAACATAAAAGGCTTTCCGTGGTAAGTCATTTAAGTTCCTGTTACGACTTCTGCAAGAAGGCAGACAAAATCGTCATTTCCCAGTCTGTCTAAAGGAACTCTGGCCATACTGGGCTGCGAGGGGTGGGGCAGGCCGTTCTCGGGACCCCTCTGCCTGTCCACTGCTCACACGTCATTAGGACTATGGCTTTCAGAGGAGGAAACGTGGGGCACAGCAGGGAGACGGGTTAAGTGACTCCTCTGTCCTCCTACCTAAATTTCTCAGCTTGTTCCTGAAGCATGAAAAGGCATTCTGAGTTACCACAACGGTCTGTAAGAGAGCCTGAAACTTTTTGCATTATCATCATTTCCAAATTCTCTAAACTTAAGAAATGAAATTTAAGCAGAATCAGATATAGCCTACATCAATGAGACTGAAGAAGTCACCTGCAGGGTTTGGAAGGAAACTTTTCACCAGACCCTATTTTGTTTGCTTTGAACAAAACGTCCATCTTCTCACAGTGCTTATCTTGTTTATAAACTTACAGCAAGCAATTCACTGGGTTATCAATTCTAAAATAGTCTCGACTTTAGTTAAAAGTAGATAGGATACACTTTAAAAGAAACAAGTCTGGAATTGTGATAGATATGTATGATATCGGGGGAGGGGGCGGTTGATTGGGGGAGAGGGGCAGTCACTTTGTGAGGAGTGAAAAGTATAACTATTGCATTGTTTTGTACACCTAAAACTAACAATAAAATATAAATAAATAAAATAAAATAAAAAATAAAAAAACAAATCTTCCCTAGGCTGCTATTTGATTACATTCTGCTTAAATTTTTGATATGAATATTTAAACAAACTCTCCTGAGTAGTTCACTGAATACCTTCATTCAATTTTATTTCCTCCAGTCCTTGAAACAACCCTGCAAGAGAGTCCGTTTCTAGATGAGGAAACCAGAGCTCACAGGCGTTCCAGCTTCCCTGGGGCAACATGACTTAGCACACGTGGGAATGGGGACAAGAGCAGGTGCCTCATTACTGGGCTCGTGTCCCACCAGGATGGCTGCACAGGTCCTCAGCCCACAGGCGCAGCACATCGGCCTCGCTTCAGCCACCCTGGCCTCCCTTATTCATTGGGGCACACTTATAATAACAATAACATCTGTGAGGAAGACTTCAAAATAATGTAAGTGGAAACTTTCATACTGGCCTTTTCATTGCCCTTTAAAAATTCTAAGCGCTCATGGAGTTAAAAATTTAAGAAGGAAATTTTAAAAGCCATACAGTGAGACAGAGTAAACATGCACACTAGAATAATGTCTAAGTGAATTGGGAACGCTCTGCATATTAGCTGAGGGAATTCATATCTTACATGATGTTTGTTGGCAAGGCCCTCTGAGAGTTTACTGTCAGGGAAGAAAATGCAGGAGAAACACTCTCAGTTCTCAGATAATTCCATAATGGCCCCAGAAGAAAGAAAGACAAGCAATGGAAACAAATCTTTGCTTGTTTTCCACATTTAAACAAGAAAGGGTGCAGATACAAATACATCTAACAGATAAAAATAAACCCATCGCATCTTGCCCTCTATTTATGTATAGTCTGGAAGGGGCTGACTGCCTCTCAGGAGCCATATGTGCAAGTGAAGAGCTGGCTCACTGAACATTAGAGGTGCTAACCATCTCTAATACGTGAGGCCATGGGAAAGAACAAGACAAAGCAGACAAGTGGAACGCATCCCAGCATGGATCCGAAACACAGAGAAGTCTGCGCACCTCTAATGAGCACCTCTCTGAGCCCCAGGTGCAGAAAGAGAGACTAATGGGCAGGGTCGGGAGGGAGGAGGACCTGAGCACAGGCATGCGGAGGAGATGGCTCAAACTGCAGGGGACGGACCACGTGGCAAAGTTAATGCTGTTTTATCTGTAAAGATGAGAGCACACTCAACAGTACAACAAATGGAGACTGTAACTGGATTTCCTTAGACACACATGTTTTACAGCTGTACTGAGGTATGATTTACATACATACAATTCATGCAGAGTAATGGCAGTTGAAATTTTTTAGTAAATATCCAGAGGAAGGCAACCACAAAAATCCAGTTTAGAACGCTGTAACTGTCCCCAGAATTCCCTCGCAAGCATCTGCAGTCAGCCTCAAGCGCCACTGGCGGGCCCGGGAAACCTCTGATTTGCTTTTTCTGTATAGCATTGCCTGTTCTGGAAGTTTCTTAGCAGTGGCATCCTATGGTATGGATATTTTGTGCCTGGCTTCCCTCCCTTAGCTTTGCTGTGTGTGTCCGTGGTTCACCCTCTCACTGCTGAGCAGTATGGCACTGTAGGGACACCATACAAACAACACAGCTTTCATGGGTCAGGAATCGGGGAATAACTCAGCTGTGACCTCCACCTCAGTCTCTCACCAGGACGCTATGGAGATGTCGTCCCAGGCTCTGCGGTCTCATCTGAAGGTTCAACTAGGAAAAGAGCCACGTCCTCACAGGGTGGCTATGGGGACAGTCAGTGCCCTGCGAGCTAGTGGGCCGAGGGCCACACTTCCTTGCACCTATAGTGGCTTGCTTCACCGAACGTAGCCACAGCGGCCATGGGGGAGTCTGTGAGGAAAATGGAAGCCACGGCTTTTGTAACCTAATGACAGAGGAGGTGTCCATTACCATCGTCACACTATACTGACCCACACTCAGGGGGGAAGGACCGACCACACACAGCCATGAGCCACATCATAAACTGCCAACCATGCGCATGTTTAACTTTTAAGAAACTGTCAGCATGTTTCCAAAGCGACTGGCACATTCCTACCACAACAGGTGAGCGCGTCTCCTCCACACCCTCATCCACACGTGGCACATCTGTCTTTCTGCTTAGAGCCATTCTAGCAGATGTACAGACGCACCTCACAGTGACCTTCGTTTTCACTTCCCTGATGACCAATAATGCTGAGCACCTTTTCTGGGCTCAGGAGCTGTTCACGTATCATCTTCAGTGAAATGTCTCTTCACATCTCTTGCCCATTTTAAACCGAGCGGCTTGTTTTCTTAATGCATTGTAAAAGATCCTTACATATACGGGACGTAAGTCCTTTATCAGATAGAGGGTTTGCAAATATTTCTCCTAGTCTATGACGTGGGGTTTTTTTATTTTCATTTTCTTAATGATACCTTTTGAAGAGTAAAGGTTTTTTTATTTTTATGAGGTTCAATTAATGAAGTTTTCCTTTGTGGATCATGCCCTTGATGCTCTTCACAAACGCTAAGGACACAAAGACTTATCCTGTTTTCCTTTAGAAGTTTATAGCTTTAGCTCTGATATTTTGTTCTATGATCCATGTTGAGCTCATTTTTGTGTATGGTGTGGGGTTCTAACTGCAGTTTTTCTGTGTGGATTTATATAGACTCGTTACAGCACTGAAGTGCCCTGGCAACTTAACCATAAACGGGTGGGTTTCTTTCTAGAATCTCTGTCCTGTTCCATTGATACATATGCTTATCCTCATACCAATTTCACATTGTCTTGTTTATTGTAGCTTTGGAGTAAGTTTCAAAATCATGTAAATCCCCCAATTTTGATCTTTTTAAAAATTGTTTTGTATTTCCACATACATTTTAGGATCAGCATGTCAGTTTTTATAAAGAAGCCTGCTATGATTTTGATATGCATTTGCACTGAATGTGTAGATCAACTTGGGGAGTGTGGGGAAAGAAAATGTCCCTGAATTTCTGTTTTCCAGTAAATAAAAAATAATAAAAAAGCCTTTGAGAATCAGATTTGCAGCCATTTGTCTAGTTAATTGCTCTGATCCAAAATAAGAGGAAAACATGCCTTATCTCTTGGAGAAGGCCAACGGTCACCTCCCTGAACTAGGTCCCTAGGTTAAGGCCCAAGGTGCCAGGAAGACCCTGGGACACAACTACACCTCAAAGAGCAAAGAGGTAGTTAGAGAAATTTCATTTGCCCTACAAAGAGCTGGAATAAGGAAAGGAAAGGGACAGCCGACTCCTTCACAGTTATAAGCAGAGAAAATCTTCTTTCCTTGTCCCTCGCCTGTGGGTATCTGGCCACTTGTGCAGGACAACGGACCTTGCTGTCATCATACTGCCTGAGGTCAAAGGGACAGTGGCAGGAGGGGTGGGGCAAGATGTGCTTACTACTTACTGTGACATATTTAACTTACAAATCTGTCTGAGCCAGAACGTTTCACGTGGGCATTCAGGATATAATGAATAAAGTTAATTTTAAATGAATGAATAAAATTTAAAATGAATATTTAAAATTCATCAGAGAAAATTACTGTGACAGCCATGTTGAGTCTTCCAGTCCATAAATGTGTTTAAGTGTGTTTATACATACACGCACACGTTTTTCTTCTCCTAATTTTACACACACATATATATGTGTGTGTGTATATATATATATATATACACACACACACATATATATGTACATACACTCGTATACACAGAAACACATACACAGTCTTTTACATTTTCCCTATTAACTCTTTCCAGTGCTCTTCATTCCTTCCTATATATTCCAGGTGCCATGTGGCGTCATTTTCTGTCAGCCCAAAGGATTTCCTTTAGTTTGTCTTACAGGGAACATCTACTAGCAAAGGATTCGCTCACTTTTTGTTTATCCAGGAATGTCTTTATTCCACTTCGATTTTGGAAGGATAGTTTTCCTCAATATACAATCATCAAATTTCTTTTTTCCTTTCTGCCTTCAGGCCTCTATTTAATGAAAAATCAGCCAATAATCTTATTTTTTGTTTCCCTTTTTAGTAGGATTTTTATTGCTTTTAAGATTTTCACTTTTTCATTGTCTTGCAACAGTTTGACTATAATTATGTCTATGTGTGAGTCTTTTCATGATTATCCTACTTGGGCTTTGCTGACCTTCTTAGATCTATAGATTAATGTTTTTCATCACATTTGGGAAGTTTCAACCCCTATTTCTTCAAAAAAGAAAAATGTGCCCCAGGCAACTTTGCATCTGAGACAGTTTCCAAATGCCCACTCTAACTCATCAGGAATCCTAGATTTTCTCTCTTTGCCTCATCTTTCTGTTTGGATCAGGGTTCACACCTTACATTTGGAAGTAATATCCAAATCACAGTAAACTCTGTAAAAGGGGCTTGAGAATGGAAACATACCACAGTGCCCGCTGGGAGAGTTGAAGCAAATTTTACAATTTGGAAAAGCTTCAAATTTATTATGTAGATTAGATAAATCAAGAGTTTTAAAGTGTGGAAAACAACATTAAAATAAAATTATCTAGAAAGCACTTTTGCTTAAGGAGCATCTTCCTTCTTTTCTCCTTATCATTTTATTTACCAATGTATCCTTTCCCCAAGTGAAAACGGCTGCCATAAAAACCTAAGACTGTCATAGTAACAGTGGTAATTATTTCCCTGGTACACCAACAGTCCTAATCACACTTCCTTCTCCATGAAACATCATGAGATAGAACGAGAGAGAGCAAGAGGGAACCATTTGCTTTTGTAAGCCATCATAACACAACACATAGGCTCAACATGGGCGAGAACCCTCAGGGTATTAAGATGGATAAATGCCTTCTGCCTGGTACCAGGAAGGAGGCTTCCCATAAAACCCGTATTACTCAAGGTCTGGTTTATCCTCCCTTGCGGTCCTACAGAATACAGAAATGGGTTCTGCCTTTCTTGATGATGCAAACGCCATCTTCACCTTGTTCACGTTATTTTCTATAGAGCTATTTCTGTCACACTCAACTTTCTATATTGCTCACAGCATTTGCTGCTGGTTACTAACTAAAGCATGGAAACCATAGTATTTTCAATAGAAGGGAGGGCACTTACACATACATTCACACATTTCAAATTTCAGCAAGCTTCCAATTGCTTGAAGGAGGACATTGAATGGGTGAGGGCTATATTTATAGTACGAGTATGTCTGCTTTTATTCCTACAGTGTCAGACATGCACTGACCGATTCTTAAAAAGCAACTAAAAATCTCGTAGAAGAATTCCCTTCTCTAATCCCAAACTTCAGAATGGTGAAGCTATTAGCACCAACCACCCCTAGTAAACATCATCTCACCTCTTCTATGGCCCCAGAATATATGCTTATTGAGATACTATGTTGAAATTTAATAAAGTTTAGCCACTCAGCTTAATAGCAAACGAAGTCAATAAAAAGGCAGCCAATGGACAGTGTGAAAATGGAGGACAGTGTATAATCACATATACTTGGTGACCTGTGGGACAGAATTAGGTCACCTCTGTATATTTCTAGCTGGTATCTAATAATTTTTAAACACCATCAATTTTTTAACTCAAAATAAAGGAAAAAAACAACAACTTTTCCCCGGTCCTACATGCCAGGATACTGGTCAAATATCATTTCATTTTCTAGATGTTTCTGCCTTCCATCTTCGTGCAGCCCATGGTACAGCCCCAACCTCTGGAAAAGTGGTCTGTAAGGACACCTGCAAGGCCTGTCCACCCAGTTCTTAGGATTGTTTCCAGAAGAATATGTGAAGGGCAAGACACGGGATCCTGACGTGAAGAGAAATGCGCCTTCCCCCCTGAGGTAGAAATGACAACCATCTCCTCACCTGATGGAAGAGGGGGCTGTGTGTCACGGGGATCCCCAGCCCACTGAAGCACATTCCTAGGACCATGTCGTCGGGGGCATCATTGCTGTAGCAGCGACACTTACTGACGAGCAGTCTCCTGATAGCTTCTCTGCTGAAGACCATTCTAGCGGGAAGTCAGAGCAGACAAGGGGTTAGAGCTGCTCCTGGACCCAGCCATCTCAGTGAAGAAACAGCATTCAGAGGCCACATTTCTCATAAAGAGCAAAGACACTGACAGTAGTGTTTATATTTTCATATAAATTCAGAGGGAAATGTTTGTGTGCATTCTCTGAAAGTCACTTATGAGATGTTTATCTACCTAATAGGTAGTTTTGTTTCTTTGTATGTGTATCTCTTGCTGATACTATGCCATATTCTTTTCCTGAGATACCACTGGAGACTGAAACCGTTCTTTAGTTTCAACACTCTGTGAGATCGACAACAAAATCTGCCACAGTCCCAGAAGGGCCCAGAAATACTAGGTACCTCACTCACACAGGTGATGACCCACAATGAGATCAAATCTAGCTGGAAAGCCATGCAGTGTCCAAGTGATGCCAGTCGACAGAAGTTTCCATGAGCTGATTTTGAGAAAGAGAAGAGAGGAGAGGAGAGCAGAGGAGAGGAGAGGACAGGAGAGAGGAAAGGAGAGAGGGAGGGTGGAAGGGAGGGAGGGAGGGAGGGAGGGAGGAAGGAAGGGGGAGAGAGAGAGATTCGTTTGCCTCAAGTGATGCTCTGATGGTACATAACCTGATGTGTCCGGTATGTCTTGGTGAAACTCACGTCCATTCCTACCTTTCCAGCCAATCCTGGCTTCCTTCACACTACACTGAGGGAGGTCATGTGCCTCTGGCTCTGGCTGTATCTGGGGCAAGGACAGGGGGTGGCAGGCCACCATAGGCTGCAGCAGAGCCTGCAGGCATGGCCGAGCCTCAGTGGCAGTCTCACAAAGGAGCGAGGGGCCAGTCCTGGGTCCGGCTCACATGCAGCGTTATGACCCACAGCAGCAGCCATAGCAGCCCACACAGACGGGCTTCAGAAAACAGCACTTCCTCCAGCCTGAGGGGCAGTAGCAGCTTTCTATGGTCACCAAGATCTAGGTAAAGCCACCTGCTCCCTTTCATTCCTCTGTTCCTTTCCAACACTTTTGTACCATGTTCCGGCAAAAAATTCTCCCCCTTTTAACATACAGATTGGTTTCTCGGTTCCACTCTAGTCTTGGGTGGTAATGGATCTTCTCATATCATGAATAACTGAAGAGCTGACAGGGCTGAAGGAAAGCATATGATTCACAAGTTCATTTCCAATAAACAACCACTGTTCAAAGGTAAAACTGTCTAAAATTTATCCATATCTTCCCACAGTCAAGTATAGGGCCTTGCACATAGTAAATACTCAGTTTGATGCATCAAACAAGTGAGAACGAAGATGCTTTTGCAAAGACCTTCTTCCCGAGGGAGGAAAGTCCTATGACTCAGTAGCTAGGAGGAAACGACAAAGAGCTTGGACACAATCGCTGAGGCAAAAATGTTGATTCCAGGCTCAGCTGGGCTCAGGTCAGAGCAAGCAGTTTAACTCACATGAGTGACCAAGCGCTAGCAACGCAACAATACAGAGACACTCTCGCTAAGATGTCGGAAGACACAATGACATAAAATGTGACCAGACAGAAGAATAGAAGAAGCTCTTTATTTAAGATCATACGGGGAAATGTGGCTGTACCAGATGAAATCTACAAAGAGGAATGCTGCAGGTGTGAAACTCAGTATAAATTGCCTTTCTCTTGGAAACTCTAGTGTCCACCCATGACCCTGGGCATCACGCCTACAAGGCCCAGTCAAAAACTCCAGCTCATCTAACTGACCCCAGGAAAAGGGCCTGTGTGAGGGGACATACATCGACTATAAACAGACAGTCCCCTTAAAAGACACCTATCTGATGCCACTTCAAGGAACATTTCATAATGCTATTCATTGTACTCTATTCAGAACCGTAATCTTTTTCATCGTCAACCCAATTTAAATAAAAATACTCTCTTTTTTTCCTTTGCCAGCATCTAGTAGGACGAGAAAGAAAAGGAAGACCTTTTATTTTGGCCCACTCTCTAGAAAATTAACTTTACAGAAAGATAAAATGCAAGTGTGAAATATTTATTAGTATTTTTATTGTGCCTACTCACACAGAACACTCTTACATTCATTATTCACATAAACTAGGTACACATGGGTCTTTAATAACACTGGTTTATTAGTATGTGGATGGGTTCTTTCAAGACAAAGTTGGCCCCAAAAATGGAAAATTGTCAGTCATATCATGGTATGTTTGCTCTGTCTGCCAACTTTTAAATATTAAGATATTGAAAGGCTCAAAAATTAATGTGATTTCCTCTCATATATAGTATACTAATTTTAAAACTAAGAAAAACTGAAATGGGAGGCAGGGACTTGTCTGAGGGTGTACCAGCAAGTCAAGAACACGCAGAAGATAAAGCTCCTCAGAACGGTGGCGCCCCCTGCTGGTCCTCCAGCAGATGAAGGTCATGGTCAAGATCTCTCTGGGTAACCCTGCCGCCAACCCCTTCCACGGAGGCTGCCCAAAAGAAGCATGACATACTGATCACAGCTTCCTACCCAAACATGTGTAAATAAGTAGTTTCAAAAAAGAAAACAGTTATTGAACCAGTTGTCCCCAAAATGCCCAAACTTAGCATGAAGTGAAAAACAGACACTTGGATTTAAATAGTGTGAGGGCTCATTTTCCAAACAATACAGAAAACCTACACGTAAATCACCCCCGAGTGCACCCTCCCGACATAGCTCAGACCAGTGGGGCTCAGAGGGATGGTTTAAGGCAATTGTTTTTAGAAACTTACTTGACTGTAAAGCACAGTGAAGAAACAAGGAACACGTTTCCTCTATTGAACCATTTATATGTCTTGTGTGTGTATAAAACTGAAACAGAAATTTCACAAAACAAGACTTGCCCTTAACCACATGTGACATATTACACTAGTCCCAGTTTATTTTATTCCGTTCTGTATTTCATTATTTTAAAGTGATGGTTATGATCCTTTCAGTGGCTCTACAACTATTCATTGATCCTGACTTGCAGGCATGTTGGTCTTCCACTAGACCATCAGAAAAGTCTACCGTAATACTAGAAAAACTACTCAACATCGCATCTGCAGCTTTTATCCAAGGTTGATAGGAGACACTCTCATGAAGAATGTCTCTGCATCTTTGTAAAGGTGTTATTAAAAACAGAATATTACATTGGCCAATGTTAGTTATGGAACAATGCCCAGTGATCTACATTTGTTTATTCATTATACCTTGTAAAAAAAGAAATGAGTCCTTATGCTAGGAAGTGAGGATATAATGAGAAATGAGACACAGGTGCTGCCTTCAAATAATTCATAATTTAGGTGGAAAACAGAAAAGTAAACAGGCAATTCAATGATAATGGTTTGTATAATATGCCATGAAAGTACATTAGAAAGGCATCAACCCAGATTTGAGAGGCCAGACCAAGCTGAAGGCTTCCAGGAACAAATAAAAGATAGCTGTATTGACTCCAATGAGAAGGATTAGCCAGGTGACAGAGGCAGAAAGTTGAGGTGGGGGAATAATGCTATCTCGAGGCCAGCAGATGCCATATCTTGGGGAACAGGACAAAACAGTGCCTCTGAGGAGCCAAAATAAATTCACCATGGATTCTTTAAGCTGAGGGTGCAGATGAACAAGGCTTAAAGGGTACACAGCCTCTGCCAAGGTCACAAGTGGCCTGGGAGCCTTGATGAAGAGTGTGGACTTCATCCTCAAGGCAATGGGAGGCTATAAAAGGATGCAAAAGACTTTCACTCCTGTGGTAACAGGAAAAATCACACTTTTGTTGAAGAGATGGAAGATATGAAGTCTAGATGAACTAATACTTAGAGAGAGGCCTTCACAGGCGGGAGACTATGGTTTAGGCAAACTCGAGGTGACTAAAAGGAAGCCTTATCCCAGATCACCTTGGCTCTTGCTGAAGTCCGAATGGTCATCATCTTGTCTTTGAGACCCAAAGTAGGAAAGGGTTCACATGCTTGGAAAAAAATGGGAAGCCAGTGATGGCCTCTGAGCAGGAGGGGGAGGATCAGATGTGTTTTGAAAACAGTCTCTCTGATGACAGTGTGGACAACAGCATGGGGAAGAAGGGGGACCAGGAGGCTGTGGCAGGAAGCCACCACGCAGGAGATGTTGGTGACCTAAGGGGCAAACAGCCTGAACCTTTTTCTAATGAAGAGGTCAGTACTCCTCGGCCTTACTCTCTGCTGTCTTTTCAAAGGCCTGTATGGACCCCCATGTCCTATTGCTAATGATCTCAGGTGGATGAATGCCACTGCTCAGCAAAGACCAGTGTGCCTGTACAGGCTTGTTTACCACTGTGAAAGGGCCACGTCAATGACCGTGTTACACAGGCCAATTGGCTAGATCAGGGTCAGCAAACTTTTGAGATGGAAGAGCCAATCCTGTCCTTCCCAACAATTTAAAAATTATTCGAGACCTATAAAACAAATAAAATCACCATTATGTGAATAATACCCTTCAAAATTTTTAAAATGAAACTATGATAGTTTTATTTTCATTTTCAATTTTACTTCAGAGCCACATGTCCGTACCCGAAGAGTCGCATGTGGCTCATGAGCAGCAGTTTGCTGACCCCTGGGCTAGGCCAACTTGGAAAAACTGGAATGTGATTCTTGAGACCCTCTGGCAGGACCGTTCTAATCTAGGGGACTGCAAAGTAAAAACAGAAAGTCCTAGCCCTTCACGAGTTTATAACCCACTATGCCTAGAGTGGACAGTCAACAAACTCCTCTTGGATGGATTTAAATTGCTATAGTTGATAACTAAGTTAAGAGCCTCCTAAATACCCCAATAGCAAAAACTACAGAAACAACAGACTAACTGCTCGGTGGATTTACCCATATAAATAGTTAAAATCTTTCCCCATAAGAGATCTGGCAGATGCTTCATTTAAAAACATTTGATTTTTAACTGTTACTTGAAACTTATAAATCCTACACAAATATCACTTAATTGCTTGAATCTAAAGTCCTACAGTACTCGCTCCCCAAATGTGACTTATAAGCACTGGATAATTTAAGTCTGAAGGTTTACGTTCTGAAAATAAAATCCACATCCAATTTTTTTCATTTAAACAGACCATCAAAGCTAACTGGCTACCCAGAAGCAATCATTGCTGTAGGGACATTTCTACAAGTACCTTGACATACATTTTTATATCGTCTCTTCAAAGGGTAAAATATTCCTTTCTGGTTCTTTTCATATTTGACAAACGTAATGTTCACCTTCCTATCACAGTAACTGCCACCACCCACAGAGCACGCCTGTATCGGTACCATCCCATGGCCACAGGACCAGCTCGGCAACCGGAAACGGAAGTGCATAGTGGAGAGACCAAGCAGAAAGCCACGCCCATAGTTACCCTCCTCCTCCTGTGACGTAGCTGTAGCCGCCTGAGCCCAGGCCATAGCCGTAGCGTTCTCCCAGGAACACGGGGTCGCTGGAGTCATAGCAGCTGAGCAAGTGCCGGAGCCTGGAGATGCTGGGGTTCCAGAGGGGACAGAAGCAATAACTCTAATTCAGCAACTATTTTATGGGCCTTACACTCCACTGCTGCTAGTGTAGAATACGATACTGAAATCACTTGGAGATGACATCTGAGTGATTTACAGAAAAAATGGATTTTTTTTAAGGAAAAAAAAAAGTTGAACACTAAGCATTACTGAAAAGAGGAGAGAAATTGAGAAAAGAGGGGCTTCCTCTCCAGCCTTAACAAGTCCCTGCAGGCACGTGGCTGCCCAGTCTGGGCTGCCTGGCAGGTTAAGGAAGGAAAGGTGGCAGGTGTACCAGGTAACTCACTTCTACCAGGCCTGTTCCCCAGGGAGTGTGAACTAATTGTCTCATGTGCTCAGATGTACTTGGTTTTTTCATTGTGTGGGTTTTTTTTCAATTCTTATGGCTAATAAAGGAACTTCTGGGGTACAAATGAGGTCCACGTCAGGCACGGGGCTGGCAGGTGAGGAAGGGAATCTGGGCAGTGCCCTTCCAGCATCCTTCCCTTTATGATGCGCAGCCTTGCTGAGGATTCCCTCAAGTAAGGCCACCTGGTCCATGGCCTTTTCATGTCTGTCTGTTTATACCTTCTGGCCCTGATTCTCCTTCGTCATGTGTCAACAGCGACAGCTTACAAAGCAAAACAAGAGCATTCAAGGGCTGCTCAGAAAAATGTCTATAATGATAGCTGCAGTAAGGATGAAAAAAAGATTTAATGGGAAAATAAAATCTAGAAGTAACTTTTTAAAAGCAACACAAATGTTGATGTTAAGAAAGGCTAGTTTTTCCATGTGTTAAGAACCTACCCCACTTACAGACGCCTTACAAAGTCCTTCCACTGTTTCTTATAAACTAGGGCTTTTAAGGGCACACATCACCCAATCCTAAGTTCTATCATGATATTAATCAGTGTTCCTTGAAAAAAGCTTTTCCATGGTCAACTCTGGGTTACATTTTCTAAACTGGCTAAATAAATGTTTCTCAAGCCTGTGATTCACGAGCCATCTCCAAGAGGTAGGTAGGACAGCAAACATTTCTCTAAATTATTAATCATGAATGCTTTTCTCAGAGCAATATTAACATCTAGAACCTAGCGATCTGGCATCTTGTGTTCCCTCTTTTGGGGGGGGGGGCGGGGGGTTCATAAGAAAACAAAGTAGAGATGTACAAGAGGAGATCTTTTCCATCCATACTTGTGCAGCTTACAAAAATAGCTCATAGGGCTAAGGATGAAAGTGAAGAAAATAAATTACCTGTATGAAAAAATCCCTTATGAGCGTGGTGCTGAAACAGTCTACAAGTCTAGGAATCGGGTTTATAGCTGTCTGAAGGTCAAGGTCACTGATAATGTTGACAGTTTCTGAATGACCAGAAAGTGTTATCTTTGAAAACGATCCTGTTTTCAGGGCACATAAGTTAAACATTCAAGGCACCTAATTGGGAATCAATCTTGAAGAAGTCATCTAATAAACAGCGCCGCAGGGGAAGGCCAGTAAGTGGGTAGATACCTGTAAAACACCACTCAGTTATGGAGAACAGACTCTTAAAGGTCCCCAAGGAACTCACAGCCTTTGGTTGGTAAAAGGCTCTGCAAAACTCCAAACCCTCTGGGGCATTTATGTCTACTTCTTGACCAGAGAATAAATGAAAAGTATTCCTCTTTCTCCTGCATATTGTACAATTATCAATTCAACGCTCAACCTTCAATTTCTGACGTTAAAATACGAGATTTAGCGTCTCCTCTGGATTTCTTTTCCTGATGACATTAACCATTTCCATAGTCACAATATTATTTTAAAGCTGAAGAATCATAAACTGAGTCTAAAAACTATCACATACTTCATATTTGCTAAAAGTTGGAAATGTGGCTGAAGCCAGCAAATCTCCAGTTTTATCCAAGTGGACTGACCATAAATCTTGCAATTATTCAGCCTTGTAACTTCAGAAAAGTTAGGGAGTTCATGACAATGATTACGTCAGAGTCTTAAAAGGAAAAGTTGACAAGGTTCAAACTCAAAAACATTTAGGACAGCATTGAGCAGTTAGATATTATTGCTAATAAAAATTTAAAAAAAAAAGACCAAACGAACATCTGGCAAAAACTTCCAGTTGGAGTAAGTGTGGTGAAGGCTGAGGCACAAGTGGATTACACAAGTGATGCGGTTACAGATGCATGAGACACTCAGCGAGGACACAGTCCTTGAAGGTGTCATGCGCTGCTCTGATGCTCACAGTTGTGCTTGGGGTTCACCAAGCTTCTTGGATTTCTGGGTGTATTGTTCTCATCAAATTTGGAAAATATTTCTTTAAATATTTGTCATGTGCCCCTTCTCTTTGGGAGACTCCAACTGCATCTATACAAGGCTACCTGGAATTGTCTCACAGCTCAGAGATGCTCTGTTCATTTGTTTAGAATTATTTTTTATCATTGTGTTTCATTTAGATAGTTAACTGTTGCAGTGTCCAAGGTCAGTGATATTTTCTTCTGCAACGTCTAATTTGCTGTTAATCCCATCCAGTGGAGTTTTCACCTCCAACAATGTAGTTTTCATCTCTAGAAGTTCGATTTCAGTCTCATGTATACCTTCCATTTCTCTTTTTTGAACATAAGGAATGGAGTTAGAATTAACTGTTTATTAGTAACAGCTTGATAACCGTGAAGTCTAACATTGCATCATTTCTGGGACAATTTCAATCAACAGGGTTTTCTCTTGGTTGTTTGGTAAATTTTCCCAAAGCATTGCATGCCTGGTAACTTTTGATTTGGTTTCAGGCACTGTGAATCTTACCTTGTTGTGTGTTGGATATTTTGATATTTCTATAAACCGTCTCAGATGTGGGCACGTTACTTGGGAACAGTTGGTCTTTCATGGTCCTTCTTTTAAGATTTGTCCAGCAGGACCGGGGCAGTGCTTAGCGCCGGGTCAACCATTCCCCACTGTTAGAGCATGACCCCATGAATCAAGGGTGTTCCAGGCTGGCTGCTGTGAACAGGCACTGTGCTCAGCCCTGTGTGAGTGTCGGGTACCTTCCTTCTCGTCCATTTCCTTCTCAACCATTTCAGTTGGTTCTTTCCCCAGCCTCCAGCAGCTTCCTCACACACGTACCATCAGTATGTAAGGGGTACCTCCACAGCTCTGCCCTGCTCTCCTGCGCAGCTCTGTCCACTCCCCTGCTCTGTCCTGCAAACTCCAACAGCCTCTGTCTCCCAGGCCCTCGGTTTCATCTCTTCAACTCAAGGAACTGGCCAGGTTCCCCTGGGTTCCCCTTCCTGAGCAGTGACTCGGGTGCTTTCTGAGTGCAGTTAGCTGGGGCAGTTGTAGGACTCACCTCACTTGCTCGTGTGTCTCATAAATCATTGTCCTTTGTTGACTAATGTCCAGGGTCTTAAAAACCATCATTTCACATATTTTGTCCTTTTGGGGGGATGTTTCAGATGTGAGAGTAAATCCAGTCCTTATCCCATCCTGACCGGAAGCAGAAGCACCCATCGTAGTTTTGAAATGTATGAATATATGGAGAATTTCAAGTCACCCTAGGATGAGAATGACTTCTTACCTTATTAACGTATCATCATCCACAATGACTAACCATGCTATTTTGTCATGGCTATGATTCATAAATCTTTCCAAAATGGCAAATGTCTTTCCACAATGACCTAGGAAAGGCAAGAGGAAAACTTACAATGTATTATTTTCTTTAAAATATATGTAACTCATTTAAAAACATATGTTTGTTAGCTCTAAAGTTTTAAAAGTAAAAGCTTACATGGTGGTGTGTATCTTAATGATTTGAAAATTTAAAAATTAGCCTTTTCTCATTTTCTGACATAGTGAATCAGAGGCAACTTTAGAGATTGTGTGATGTCTAAGCCATTCATTTCCCACAGGAGGATGGAGAGATGAGGGAATTACACAAGGTCATGTAGTGAATTTGAGGCAGAGACAGGACTTAATCTTCACTCCAGACAAACAGGGACATTATAAGCCTCAGAGAAGTTACAAGTCCAGTATCTTCCCTTAGATATACTTATTCTGAAGGAACTGTCAGAACCCCAAGGGTCACAGCCATAGAGAAACAATGGTGCAAAAGTGGAATACTATACCTTCACATTCATTTTGTAAATATTTGCTATTAAGTTTTAATATCCCAGGTACTGTGGTAGTTTGTAGGCTATGCGCTAAAGACACAGTGCTAAGACAGTCACAGGCCTTCAGGGGCCACCAGATAAACGTCGCTGCCTTAATGGAAAATGCTGGGGCCGAGATAGGATACAATGCTTGGGAAGAGAACTCAAATCGAACAATAGCAAGATGCCCCTCATTTCAACAAAGGATTTGGTGACACAACAGAGAACAAACTAATATTAATTAATGTTAAGCCATTCAATTTCACCTTTATTTTTGTAATTCCTGATCTCTTTCTGTATTTTTAACCATTATGGTATGCATTTTTGAAAGCCATCTCAAATTCCTTTTGGAATAAAGTAGAATATAAATATGAGCAATAATAAGGCCGGGCTAAAATTAAGACATCAAATAAGGAATGCATGAATCAAGAAATGGTTATGAAAGCCAAGCTAAATTAAAGTCTAAAAAGCAAGATTAACCAAAAAGAAAATTCTTCTAAAACTATTTTTCCAAAACAAACAGCAAAAGACTTAGCAATATATTTGTCAGAAGAACAGATAGCCATGAGGATGACATACCTGAGTCTGTATGTACTTGACTAATCGAGGCATTATGAGTGACATTCCCATAAACTCATCAGGATATCTATCGAACTAGACAATCAACTCACTACTTGCATGTTTTTTTTTATTCATAAAAGGGTTTGTGGAACCAGAAAACTAAAGAAAAAATGTGATGGAAACACTGGATGAAAATTAAGATGAGCAAAGAGCATTTGTGGGTGAGCTGGCCAAATTTCTACATCCATTTTGTGAAATAAAACAATGTTTTCAATTAGAAAGCCTGCAATCTGAAAAGCTGGTGTACTTCCAACAATTTAATTAAAATATTACCATATATGGGTGTGTGTGTATATATATATATATATATATATATATACAGAGAGAGAGAGAGAGAGAGAGAGAGAGAGAGGGCGCGTTTATACCATGCATTCCCAGTGTGGAATGTGATTAAGTGTTATTCAGAGGCACACACAAAATGTGAGCTAGACCATCAGCTTCCTGAGGATAGAAACTGTCAGCTTCACTCCTACTTCCCCCAGCGTCCAACAGTGGATGGCACACAGCAGTCGGACAACATCCTGGCTGGTTAAATGGCTAAAATTAAACGAGCAGCTTTGTGTGAAACAATGATTAACTTTGAGCACGTCACTGGAGCCACAATGAATTCTGAAGGTATGAAAAGTCTGTTGTGAAGCTGTTGTAATTGTGATGTGCTCAGTCATCTAATATGGTCTACTACAATAAAACTTAGAACCTTTCTTTGTACTTATAACACAGCTCTTAATCTGAAATACTTGGTCCACATCCATGGGTAAAGATGTTGAGGGGGAGGAAGGCAAAAATTCTAGTATTTACACAAATTTATTTTTATCCTAACTGAATGTACTGTATTTACAGAATGCACATGTGAGTAAGAGGAGTTGAGAATGAAGGACTCACCTCTGTCTGTATTAGGAATTCCCAGGTCCACCGTAGGAATGGAACTTTCTGCATGATCACTGTAGTATTCAATGCAACTTGCCTGACTGGCCCACGTCTGCTTTACAATGGGGACTGAAAAAATGAGAGGGGTGACAGTCACTGGAAGTTATAAAGACAAGCTTGGAATCTCAAAGGGGCAGCACCTGTACAGAAAGGGAACCCTGACTCGCTCTTCTTCAGGTGTTCCACGCCTTAGAGCTCCCTTTGCTACCTGAGAAATGCCAAACGCATATGAATAAAAACAACCCTTTTCCTGAGCCATTTTCAATTTACTCTAGAGCCAAGCACTCTCTATGCCTGGTGACAAATAAACTTGCTTCCAGACAATAAATTTTCTGATTATACTGATTGTGTTTAATCTGTATATAATCAACAGTCTGACTCCACTGTTGCATTTAAATTAGCTTTAACTAATATTTCTCTTTTCCCAACAGGCTTCATTTAAAATTCACAACTGGAATTTTAAAATGCTTTTTAGGGGGGTGGGGAATAGAATTACTCCCAAGGAATACTCCCAAGGAATACTCTATGTGGTTCTGAGATGCAAATTCGTCTCTTACTATGGGCGGGGGCAGGAGGAGGGAGCTACCTTTGCAAACGACACCTTCCCCATCCAGAGATTCCCATGGGACACCCACCCTATAAAGGGCATGACCCCACCACTGAGATTCACTGCACACCAAGACTGACATTACTGAGTTGAAACTTTGGGAAAATGTGGAGGAAATAAGACCCTGGGAAGCATTCCAGATTTTAAAACTCTAACATTAACAGATAAATTGTTTTAATACAGTAAACACAAACAGTGCAAAACTTTCCTGGTTTTCTGTATTTAGGGGTGAGAGGTTCAAAGGCAGCTCTGTATCCACACCTGACGTGGACTTCTGCCCGATCACTATTTGGTATTAATTCACTTAAGCAGCGATCTGAGTAATTATTTTCTTGTATACCGTTTTTTTTAAGTTATTGTCTCTTCATCTCTTAAGTTTTAAGAAGAAGAAATGGTTTCTGTTGTTTTCGTATCCAGATATTTATACCCTGTTAATTTAAGAATCTCAGCCCTGATGAACTAAATCTTCAGGCCAGTATTTTGAGACTCTATCAGGTCATTTATCTTTTCCTTTTTCCCAGTCCAAATAAAAATAAATTATATGCAAAAACTGCCCATGCAATGCCAACCTTAAGTGTTTAGCTATGTGAGGCAACCTCAGACAGCCCTTGTATATAAAATACAAAAGTGCACCCTTTTATAGTCCATTACTTACCAGCTTTTAAGAAAGAAAAAGACCTATGAATTTTTTACATTGGCTATAATAACCTCCAAATTACCTATTTTAACTCTGTTATTTTTATACATCACAATATAATTTTTCTGCAATTATAAAAAAGACAGATACAGAGATTTCACATGTCAAAACACACAGATGAAGAAAATAATGATAAGGTTGCTGGAGGGGGGGTACGTCCTCCCTCTGTTCCACTCCCACATTCCACCACAAGAAGCTTCACCTTGGCCCTGCAGTGGCAGGTGGCTTGGCACGTACTGAGCAGGAGGACTTACCCCAGAAAGGGCTCCCTGCAGCTCACAGCCATTGAATGTTCACATTCAGGTAAAATGTGCCCCATTGAATAGGCTGAGAATTCTCCTGGGTCTCCAGCACTGGGTCCTACAAGCCTTGCAAATTCTTCTTAAAATTTATTGGGGTGACAATGGTCAACAAAACTACATAGGTTTCAGGCCAGCCGGGTGGCACGTTGGTTAAGAGTTGGCTTGGGATGCCAGCTCTGAGCAGCAGGGCCCCGGTTCGGATCCCATATGAGGGCCAGTGACGCTGCACCCTCTACAGCTAAGATGGTGAACAGCTCAACCTGAGCTCGGCTGCCCTGAGTCACTGGTGATGGCGTAGGCTGCAGTGGAGCTGCAGTGGGCTGCCATAAGCTACCGTGAATGGCTGGCTGGCAGCCAGCGTGAGTGGCCGGCAGTTGGCGTGAGCTGCCGAGAGCCGCTGTGAGCGACTGTCCAGTGGCCAGCAACCGATCTGCCTCAGCCAGGAAGAGCGCAACGATAAATACCAACATGGGCCAGTGAAGCGATGTCCTCCACAACTAAACTGAAGAACAAAAGGACAGCAACTTGTCTGTTCCTCTTCTCCAATTCCCCAATGCTGTCTTCGCCCACCATTCCCCAATAAAATCTTAATAAAAAAAAACTACATAGGTCTCAAGTATACAATTCTATAATACATTACCTATATATATCACATGTGCTCACCACCCAGAGTCAGCTCTCCCTCCATCACTATATATTTCACCTCCTTTACCTTCTTCTCCCTTACCTTCTGATAACCACTAAACTGTTGTCTGTGTCTATGAGTTTATGTTTCTTTATTTGTTTGTCTTGTTCCTCTGTTGCCTTCAGTTTTATATCCCACATGTGAGCGAAATCATACGAGTCTCTACTTTTTCTGTCTGACTTTTTTCAATTAGCATAATAATCTCAAGATCCATCCATGTTGTCGCAAATGGCAGTATTTCATCAACGAGACAAATATTGTAATAACAAGTGCTGGAGAGGCTGTCAAGAAAAAGGGACCCTCATACACTGTTGGTGGGAATGCAGATTGGTGCAGCCATTGTGGAAAACAGGATGGAGGTTCCTCAAAAAATTAAGAATAGAATTACCATATGACCCAGCAATGCCTCTTCTGGGTACCTACCTCAAAAATCTGAAAACACTTATCCATAAAGATACATGCACCTCTATGTTCACTGCAGCATTATTTACGGTGGCCAAGACATGGAAATAACAAAAGTGCCCTTCGACAGATGACTGGATAAAGAAAATGTGGTACATATACACAATGGAGTACTACTCTGACATGAACCTTGCAAAATTCTGCTTCCACTTTCCTCAGCCCTTAGCCATCAGTTCCTGTCAGCTCTAATGGCTTTATTAAACAGCACAGGTGCCTTGTCAGTTAGCTGATTTCATGAAATTAAAGTCAAAATCAAGTGTGAGTTAGCTCTTAGCTATTCCTAACTACATGTTTCCAGTTTTTCTTTTAAAGGGTAGAAACAGAAGTTTCATGAAAGGTAAGAATTCTAGTATGACTGCTTCCCTGACACCTAGCACAGTGCCTGGGACGCAGTAGTAGCTGTTTAACAGATAGTTGAATGAGGACTGAATCTCATAGGAATTCCAACCAGAGGCCTGAGACTAGCTTTGGAACTAGCTGAAAGGAAGGTTTTATTCATACCAGCAATTCATCCTTTGGCACAAAAGGGTACTGCCATTACCTGTCATTTAAAACTAGACTAACCATTTTAATAGACTGAGGTGTTATGATACTATAATACCAAAAGCATTCAACAGTTGTGCGATGTGTACTGTAAGTCCTGCGCATCTGTCCTATCTACCAGCTATAAAGAATTTCAAGCTAAGGCTAATTTTCTATACCAGCAGGTTAAGACTTTATTTTCAACCCAGGTTGATTCTAAATTACTTAATACTTTTAAATTATTGGTCTATTTTATTAGCATTGTTTGAATTCTAAATTGAATTCATTCTGTTATTTATAAAATATTTTATATTATATTGAGGCACTGCACCACTAAAGATATCCAATTTTGAGAAACTATTTCAAAACAGTTATATGATCTAGTATTTCTATTTCAATAAAGAGAAGCACACCTTCTATCATATAATGAAACAATAGTGAATGCCTCTTTCAAGGTTTGTTACAAAACAACTTAAAATTGGAGCAAAGTAAAAATTGGACTATAAAATAACTCCACTGCACAGAAGGCATAAATCTTCGACATGGCTGTACAGAATTGAAGCAGGAGGGGCCGAGTCTCTTTATGAGGCACAGAACACACATTTTCGCCCCCGGTGAATTTACCTGCGAAACTCTGATTACAAATGAACATGAACTTGACACTTGAACACTGTACAAAAACCACCACACAATCAAATGTGAATGACTCGTGATTTTAAGGAATCGGCTATTTTTGACAAATGGACCTGCTGTCTCAGTGTGCAAGTCAGTGACCACAAAATAAAACCCTGGCTGCTCGTCTCTTCTCAGGAGAGGGTACAGACATACACGCCTAGAGTGTGCCATAACTCCTGGTTTCAGATAGGAGGGGTACCTACGACTGAAAAGTACCCCTCAGAGCCAATCTGAAACATTTCAGGGCAATCTGGGATCTTCCTCTGTTCCAGGGCCAGGGGAAAACTGACTGAGGCAACACCTGACTCCTTCCGACCTTCACTAATTGATCTAATCACCATTTAACATATGGGTAGGCTTCCCATGGGGCTGCATTTTCAACCAAGCCTCACATTTTAAATAAGCAGATTGTAAGCCTCTCTCATCAAAGAGAATACAGCTACCACACACTCCTAATAAGTTGGCTCAGATCTGCCTCTTCTCGATGAGATCAATGCAGTCAAGATATCAAACAGGTGTATTTTTACTGCAAAATGAATAAAGTGTCTCTTTTTAGGAGCTTTGGAAGCCGTGAAAAGGAACTAAAGGCTGAGAAAATAGCAATTGAACCTTTTTAATTAGTGGGAGATGGCAGGAGGAGAGCGTCTCACTGCCCACCATCTGATGAACAGAAACAGTGGCTGCCCCCAGATACTTGAGACAGGCACTAAAGCTGCAAGACAAAATGGTGCTAAGAGAAGTCTTCACATTTTCTCACAGCCCACATCACACAGTGAAAAACACAGAACCCGAGAGGAGGTGATCAAGCTGAACACCAAACTCATGAGATCTCCTTGCTTACATATAACCTGACATGCTATGCCCAATTCCTTGCTTTATATAATACTTTTAGTTTCTTTAAAACCCTACTACGTGCTTGCATCTCAGAGAGTGTGGCTGTTTCAATGATGTCAACATGTGTTTCCTCCTTAAGCCAGAAGACAGAAAATACTTTGGCTGACTGTGTCCTCTAAGAACGTTTCCTTCTTCTTTCTGATTTAAATCAGAAGCCAGCCAAAAGCAGTTACATAAACATTTGTTTCACTGAAAGGCAAAAAATAAAAAGTACAAAAGGTAAAAAAAAATTTTTTTCATTTTGGAACTTGGCTTTATTCTCAATTCTTCCATGAGAGTATAAAACAATGACTTCAACATCTATTTTCCCTCGCCTTGACTAGAGCCTTGGGCAGAATGTCCCGTCCATCACCCCCCTCCCTGGAGGTGGCCAGCACTGTAAGGAGCCAGGAGTGGGGTCTGTCGCTAGTGTCGGCGCATGCTCAGTACGGGGGGCAGTGACAACCTGCCACTCACAGTACTGCCACTCCCAATTTTATAAAGATACAGTCTTCTCTATGTTTTTTTTCCCTTCATGGCCATTTGACCTTTGTAATTTCAAGTGTTTACCACAGAGTGCACTGGGAAAGGAAAAGAAACACCAGTCCATGGATTCTCAACTACAGCAGTAATGTGCTTGGGTAGGGGTGGCAGTCTAAACTGCCAGCTCGGTCTATATTTGAGACGATCTGAGGATTTCAATTCCTGCCTATACCCCTCACTGCTGAAAGTGAAAAGGCTACTTCCACAACTAAGTAAAAATTGACCTTGAGCAGAGCGGAGGAGAGCACCAACACCAATATCAAATACTATTTATCAAGTGCTGGCTTTGTAACACATCCAAGGAGATCACAGTATAGATGTGCCGTGGCAGAAAGAGCCTGGGGTGTGAAGCCAGGAAACTGGAGCTCCAGCTGCTACCATGGGCAGAAAGAACAGGGCCTCAGAGAGAGAGAGAGGGGAGAGGAAGGTGGATGTGAGGGGAGACACAGGAGAGAGGAGATGAGGTCATCCTTAGGAAAAGGTGCAGCTACCAGACCGGCCTGAACTGGCGGCCAAGAGCAGATCCAGGACACCGTCTTGTCCCTCAAGGTGAACTTTAGCTAACTAAAATGGACTCTAATATTAGCATAGCGGCCAAGAAACATCTCCGCTTCCTTCCACAAGGGCCAAATAAGGACAAAAATCCTTCCTCCCAATGGGGAAAAAGTAGTCAGCAAAGACCCGCTCTGGGAACACCTGTAACGCCACCCCTAAATATTTTGCACCCTCACTTGAATAGAATCCTACATTTCTTTGTTCTTGGGGCCGTTGTACTTCTTCTGGGCCTGCCCACTCTCACGCCATCTTGAGAGTGTACGGTACTATTTCTTTCTCTTAATAGATCCACTGTTTGCCTGGCTTTGTTTGTGTGGCTTATTTAGTGCATCCCTGAATTCCTTCCCATGACATTTACCAAGAACCCTTGTTCTGTGGTGACACAGCTGCCCTGCTCAGGATCCACAGGCACTCGGTCCCGCTGTGTCCCGCCTAACGTAGCCTCCTCTACAGTATCATGTGAGTAACATTAACTGTCATCATGAAGAATTTTCAACGCAAAGCTAGAGGTATGCATGTGTATAAGTGTATGTGAGAAGCACACCAGGAAAAGTAAGAGAGCAGTCAGAGCAGTTCCTGTGTGTTGTCACTATAACTAACATGGTTACTGGGTAATTCTTTACACCGACTGGTGGCTTTGGACTAAATTTCCAAAAGGAGGGCAGAGCCCAGGGGCCTGGCAGGCTTCACTTCCGTCCAGCCAAATGGACATCATGAGGTAAAGTCCTTTACCTCAGACTATCTTTTCAAACAAACATCCGAGTTTAAAGATGGCTTGCCACAGAAACCCAACTGTGAAAGCCTCTCAATACCTTTTAGGTCTCAGGCTTCAAGGACCCCAGATCCAAATTAACAGCAGCAGATCAACTCACCTCGCCCTGGGAGGGGAGGAGGAGGAGGGTGCTTGGTTTTAATGCTCCTAACAAACTTTTAAGATTTTTGTCATTTTAAAGAGCTTTGACTCAAAATTAAAATATAAATAATTCTATGAACATCTGAAAAAGATGGCCTCAACCTTCTGCAAATAAGAAAGCAATAAATTGGATTATTTCAAATTACTAACTTAAATTTAGCAACCTTTTATTTTCATTTCTGTAGAATATAAAATATACGACAGGGACAGTCCCTAATTTTACTGCTTTTGTGTCACTTGAAAAATGTGTTTCAAAAGAGAAAATACCACCACTGTTAACATCAATATTATGAAAGCACTCACTATTCCAAGTGCAGCTTCAAGATCAAGGAAACCAAACACTTCTGCTTGCTGTTAAAAAAAAAAAAAAGTGGCCAGTTCATTTCCCTTTTTTACTTTTTTGTAAAAGATATTTGTCAAAAATTGACCCACAACGCCCTTCTCCAGATTATGAAAAAAGCAAAAGGATATTAAATCTAGGTTAAATTTGTGATAAATGAAAATTTTATTTTAACTGCTATGTTGATTTTTAATAGTATTTTAGGACTCCTGGTATAATGAATGCATATATTTATACAGGCTGATTTCATTGGACTTGAAACTTAACATGACTACTTTAGAGAAACATAATTGTTTATAGTTAATGTACTTTTAAGACATTTTTTATTATAACCAGATTTTAATTGATGTCAGTGTCTCAGACAATACTTTAATCCCAAATTATAATACTACTTTATTTGGAAAATATGTTCCCTTTGAAAATATAATTTGTAAGTATCATGTTTTCACATAAATTATATACATGAATTTCCCCCACAGCTCCAATCCCACAAAAATGACACTAGTTAGAAATCTCTCCTATATAAATATCACACTCTTGGTGAAATCGACAGTCTTTTCATGGAAAAAAATTTAAATATGTGCTAAAATTAGAAAACACAAGAGGCTGTCTAGTTTTCAACTTCAGAAAAGTGCTGCTTGAAATAAGGCGAAAGGAGAGAGAAATTGTCTATACATAGTATTTAAGATGGGCTTTTCTTTACATTATTACCATAACTTAGTAAATTCTATAATGACACCAAAAACTTGAGTAAAAATAACATCCATTTGAAAGCCAGGATTTCTTTAAAAAGGGACCACTGCTTATAAAGCATCTTTTTCCTTTTATATATCTACTCATTAGCAAATACAAATCTTTATTTAAAAGTTCGAATGTGTTTGTTTGAAATAAATGTAAAAAGAAAGAACAGTCTTCAGAAAACCATTTCCTTAGCATTTTGTCACCTTGAAATCCCCTCCAATATTCTCAAACAGTTCAGAGGCTGTATGTGGACTTAATAGGACATTGTTTTGCAAAATGGATTGTTATTTACATATTGTCTCCAAGATTGCAACAGCTGAGCTTTACCATTTCAGTTTAAACAGTATTTAGAAGGGCTAGGACCACCCACGTTTCAGTACAAAATTGTTCTTTCTAACTGGTCTTGGTAACTGAAGCAGGATGACGAGGAATACCGATTAAATAACTGCTTTCACTTCCACAGTATCTGTATTTGTACTTTTTTTAAAAGGCAGGATAGATTTTTAAAGTTCTGTAAAAATGAATAACGCAAAACATACTTCTATCACCATGAAATTTCTTGCATGTTTTCACTGCAACAAAAATATCCTCCTTCTTCACTGGATTTCCCTAAAAAACAAGGAAAAATACATGCACATGAATCCATGTTATCTTAACTCCATATCCATGTTAGATGTTATGTGCACTAGAGGTCAAATGCACCTCAGGGCCATCAAGCCTGTTTCCAGGATGAAGTTTTAGGGGAAAAAGGCGACTGTTGTCCAACTGATAACAAAGGCTTTGCTATCAGCCAAATGGGCCTGATCCCGCTCTGCCATTCACTTGGTCATGGGGACCAGTTCCTTCTCTCTCTGACCTGCAGCCTGCCATTTAGAAGGCAGAAAGAGGGCTGGCAGGGTCGCCGGTTCGACTCCTGGCACGAGCTGAGCTGCCAACAAGTGGCAGGATGGCTCAGCTAAAAATAATAATAAATAGATAGATAGATAGATAGATAGATAGATAGATAGATAGAAGGCAGGAAGACTAACTACCAGTGAAGCTGCTTCTATTACGACTATTTATTAAGCATGTCCTAGGTGCCCAATAATGGTCAGTAACCTTCCCATTCCTTTTTCCAGCTTGTGAAGATTTTGACAAAGGGAGAGAACTAAGGGGGTGTTGCAGTGTGAAATACCAGATGACCCCCTTTGTGGGTCTGGCCTCACCTTGATGTTTAAAGTGTTCTCATGGCCCCTTTATTGTCTCCCCAAGTCTAGGCTACAGTGGTGGGATTACTCCAAACACCGGGGCGGGGGTGGGATGGGGGTGGGGGTCCTGGAGCCCGGAGCTGGCTCCAACGCAAGCTGATCACTCAGACGAAAGGGGGCACACAGAGAGATCTGTGGGCAGCCCGCACCCAAGGTCATGGGCTGACTGGTGGTGTTATTACCCCTTCATCACCTGTCTTAGCCTTTAACAAAATTCAGTCCTGACTCCTACATCACTTGCGGCTAGTTTATAGTGACATCTAACTACAGCTTGGTCATGTCACTGAGGACACGAGGAGGTCACCCCTCTACCCCTACCTCCCAGGTTCCCTAGAAAAGCATTCAAGAGCAAGCAGGCATCATGTCTAGGAAGACCCGTGTTCCCTCAGGAAGTGAACAAACATTGCAGACTCTTCCCATTGTTGTGGGCATTTGTGTGTGTGTGTGTGTGTGTGTGTGTGTGTATGTCTGTGTGTGTATCTGTGTGTCTATGTCTGTGTGTGTCTCTGTGTGTCTGTCTGTGTGCATCTGTGTGTGTGTCTGTCTGTGTGTGTATCTGTGTGTCTGTGTCTGTGTGTGTGTGTCTGTGTATCTGTTTGTGCGTGTCTGTGTGTGTATGTGCGTGTCTCTACATTTGTGTGGTGTTCGCGTCTGTGTATGTGTGTGTCTACATATATCCATCTTTGAAACTGCAACACACAGACTTCTGTGTGACTGATTTGAGAATAACAGACTGAGGGTGGTAAGTAAATTTTCCATTTTGAGGAAGAGCTGGAAACAACCTAGTGAGTTTCAGGGGTCTTCAGGCTCATCCTGGGGACTGGACCAAGGGTCTTCCCTATGGAGTAGTTTATTCTGAAAGTTCTGGAAAGCCTCAGGTAAGATGGGAATGAGGTCACCAGCTGAAAGGTTAACGGGATGGGCTTGAGCAGACGCCTGGGTATCCTGGGAAATGTTTGGAGATGGAACAGATATTCCGATAGACAGACGCCAGCCACATCATCAACAAAAGAAATGACTCCGGGCGCCCTGAGTGAGAGCTTCGCAGGCAGCCCTGCACAGAGGCTTGAGGGGACACTGCGCTGGTCACATGCTCACTTCCGGCCCACTCGCTGTGTGGCCTGTATTACCTGGAGCAAGTACCTCTGAGTGTCCTGTGGAAAATGGGGTGACGTGGTGCTTACCTTATGGGGCTGGCATTATAGAAACGTGATATATGGTTCTTACCTGGCATGTAGCAAACGCTGGGTTTTCTCAGTGTGTAAAGTGTTGGGCCTACATACACACAGCAGGTACACTGTCCTTTGATGTGCAAAGTTTTTCTCCAATTACTTACACAAATGGGTAGGAAAGAGTGGAATGTGGTAGCACAGTGGGTGTCCACACCATCTGTACACAGCTCAGGCACTGGAGTAAGGGGAGGCCCATCACCTTTGTCCCAGATGTAGAGGGCAACCTGTCAGGGGGCAGGGGACAGGGGACAGTGAGCGAAAGGATGCGCAACTGGCACCCCACATATGAGAAGGTACGAAACATCCCAAAGAGGAGTGGCCACACAGTCCATAGAGAGAGTATTATATTGAACCGTGTCAATTTGTCAATATTCAACAGGTTTTTTTACTTACAAAAATTGTAATTCCATGTGGATAGATCTATCTTTTATTAACAAAAAACAATTAACTAAGAATCAATATTTCAACCTCCAAAAAATTCCGAAGTTGTCATAAGCCATTGTGGAGAAGCTGTGTTAGGAAATCTCAAACATCACAGAGAATGATGAAAGAAACTATGATCACGGCCCTGGTCTCTTGCAGTGTGGAAATGACATATCCTAGCTAACTGAATTTCAATGAAAACATAAAAAATGTTGGACAAAATATCTTTAAAATCATTTTAAGTGGATGGCTAAATTGGCACATAAGTGTGGCACTTGTGAGGATAAAAATGCAAGAGTGAGAACCTGGGAAGAGGGTGCCAAGGGCAGCTTTCCTCAGTCGGCATCAGCTGAGCCCTGGGGATGCTGAGTTTCTGACAGGCATTAGGGGGACATAGCCTGTGACCCCGAAGTGGGGGTGTCTAACAGCAAACCCTACAGAAGCTGGGACTGCGGAGCTCGATGGCGGGGAAAATCATCTCCAAATCTCCTCTGGGGTTTTGTAACCAAAGCCAGGACTCCCTAATTGTGCCACCTATGTGGTGCGAGCCCCTCAAACAGAGGGATTTAAAGTGTCTCCATGTCAGTCCAACCCTTGGGAGCAAAAGAAAGTGCGACAAAAATTTGGAAAGGGGTCCTTATTGAGGAGCTGGGACCTCAGTGCAGGACTCAGAGGAGTCCAGACAAAACTCTGAAGGCACAGGAGCACTGAGAGAAGTGCAAAGAAACAAGCTGACGAGCAACCTCCAGCAGACACAACTTAATGCGATCCAAAACCTTTAGGTCCTAGAACTACCAAACATTGAGTATAAAATTACCACGTTTAATATGTTTTTTACAAAGAAATGAAAACTTTAAAACATGAGCAAATTTTTAAAAGATTATACAAAACAGGAAAGCAAACTTGAAAAAGAAATGACTAGAACTTCTAGAAATGAAAAACAATAATAATTAAAATGAAAATTTTAATGGTCAGGATGAAACGTATATTAGACACAGCCGAATAAAAAGAAATCAAGGAATTAAAAGACAAAGCCCCCAAATTATCTGAAATGTAGCACGGCAAGATGGAAAACGTGAAAGAGAAGTTCAGACTGCTAGCAGCATCTAAATTCCAGAAGGAGATAACAAGAGAGAACGGGGATGAGAAGCTAGTGGAAAAGATGATGGCTTAAAATTTCCAAAAACTGCATAATAATCCTATTACATAAAGCGTCAAAGAATCCCAAGCAGGATCAGAGAAAAGAGCCGATGTCTAGACATCTCACAGGGAAGTGGCAAACACCAAAGACAATCGTAAAAGTAGGCTGACAGAAAGGACACTTTATGTACAAAGGAACCACGTTACACCATGATGACTTCCCAACACTACAGCAATAGCATCAGCCAACACAGTGGAGTAACACCATTGTGGTGACAGAAAATGACTGACCACATACAACTGTATACACAGTGTAACTGTTTCTAGAACAAAGTAGAAATAAATATTTTTAAAGAAAACAAAACAGTATTTACCACCTCACTAGAGAAAATTCTGAAGGATGTACTCCAGGAAAAATAAACATGGTCCCAGTTGGAAGGTTTAGAAGCAAGATAGAATAGTGAGCAAAGATGCTTGCAGGTATGTGGTTAAGCTAATACAAATGTTAACTGTAAAGTAATGATAATGTTTAATTTGCAGGATTTTTTAAAAAGACAAAAAAAATACTGGACAACAAGAGATATAACTTAGGAATGGGATAATCAGAGTTAAATTATTCTAAGGCCCTGGAATTTTCAGGACACTGATTTATTAGCCATCATTAGTCAAGAATGCATGTTAAAATATTTAAAATAACCAATAAGTACAGATATAAATATTGAACCTCCAAAATAGCAGAGGGGGAAAAAAGAAAAAATATCTAAAAGAAAGCAAGGAAGTTTTAAAAGAAAAAGAAAAAATGGGGAGAAAGGGCTAAAACAAAGTGCTTTATTCAAGTATATTAGTAATCACGATCAACATAAATATAAATTTGCCAACTGGTTTAAAGATAACAATTGTCCAAGTGGAAAAGAAAAGCAATGTCCTCTTTAAGTGAGACACACATAAAAGATGAGGACACAAAAGTGTTGAAAGAAGGAGATGAAAACAGTTATGAAGTAAACATCAAAAGAAAGCTAGTATAGAAATACTCGTTTCAGCAAAATAAACGTTAAGGAAAAGAGCATTACTAGAGATAAAGGTAACTCACTAAGCGGTAATGATTCTAAACTTGTATGCACCTAACTAACATAGTGTTAAAGTATAAAAAGTAAGAGTGTTCAGTTCCACAAGGAGACTGTGTCAAATCCACCATTATGATGGGAGATTTTCCCATTCCTCCCTCAGGAAATGATACATCCAGCAGACAGACAAAAGGGGAAGAAAGGGAGGGAAGGAGGGAGGGAAGATAGGAGGGTGGGAGGAATGGAGGAGAGGGAGGGAGGGCGGGGATCTACAAAGCACAATATTAATTGTGCCTTAACAGATTAATCTATTAGATTACATCTATTTTTTTTAATCTAATAGATGTAAAGAGAATATTATACCCCCGTTAAAGCATATACATCCTTTTCTCCATTTATGAAACATGAACATGAACTAAGTCATAAAGCCTAAAAATATTTCAAATTACTGTTCTATAGACCATAATAATTCTAAGTTAGAAATCAGTAACAAAACACAGTAACAATACACAAAAATACTGGGTCACAATGAAAAATGTATGTTTTTTAAAAAGTGGGTCACGGTCAGAAAACAGTTTAAAAACTTCTGCCCTAGAGAAAGCCTTGCAGATGATCAACACGCCACACATCAAAATGCTCACAGAAGCAATGATGTGCTAGCAAAAGGACACGTGCAAGACGTTCACTCCTTGGGTGTTTCTACATGAGGAAATAGCTCATTTGATGAGAAATATACATGTCAAAAATCAGTCTTTTCTTCCATAAAAAGGAAAGAATGACTAGTGGAAAGCCAGGGCCTGCCTAGGTATTTTTAATAAAAGTCAGCTGTGGTATAGATCCCAGGTTCAGGATATTCTGCTTGACCCTTATACCTTTCACATACGTTAGAAATACTCGATTGTACGCATTCAATTTTTAATAGGTTCCAGAACCTGGGATCTATACCACAGCTCCCTTTCCGCTCCCAGCAGGCTGCCAACACGGGTGGACCTGTTACGTGTCAATACGGACCCTAGGGCCCTAAGACACAGATTCCTGCAGAAGGAAAGGCGGTCTGCTGTAGGCAGTCAGACGCGCCCATCAATGTAAGGCACAGAGACCTTAATGATGGTCAGGAATAATTAATGAAGGGACACCTGCCACCTGCATCCAAGACGATTGGTCACAGATGCCCAGTAAACGGCAGGGGTGCTGAGGGTCCAGGCTGGCATGCCATAGCTGCCTGCTTGGGACCAACTGGCTCAGCTCTGCCCCAGAAGGTCCAGCACAGGGGCGTGACCATGGCCTCATGCACAACCGAAGCACCAAATAAGACCACAGGTACTTTCAATGACACTTTTGCGTGTTCTTAGAAATCCACCTCTGGGCCCATCCACCTAGCTTTAAAACTAAAAATCAAGAACCACAAAGTGCAGTTTTTTTCACTGATCCTTCTCCACCCATGTGACTAAAAAAAGCTTAAAAGAGAAGGACCTGATTTTGGGGAGTGGAACAACCTTGGTGACGAGATGCTTGGGGGTGGGGTGGGAAGCATGTTAGAGAATATAGGACACCTTTTGTATCAGAAGATGTGAATTCCTGATTAGTAAGACTTTTAACCAAACAAACCATAACATACCTCATGTTTTAAATCAATTGTAAAGTCGGACTTCAAGGGCTCACTCTTTAACCTCTTAGTAAGCCTAGAAAACAAGAGACAATTTGAGGGTTTTTCTGAAGCCAGAAGAAGCATCAAACAAGAATAACACATTCTTGAAGCTTTCTAATATCTGAAAACAGGCAAATTTTCAGATAAAAATAACAGTTCAATTTCCTTGAAGCAGAGGACTGTGAAAATGCAATTACATGTTGACCAGGATATGACGGCAAGGCTTGTTGCCAATGTAGCATCCGTTATTATAACATCTGGCTAATAACTTCAAATGCGATACAAAACAATACAACACATTAAATGGCTTTACAAAAAGCCATTAAGTTTGTTGACTCCTGATAATCCTTACACTAAATAACGCAGAGAAAGAAAAAAAAAGCAGAAAGCTTGCACCACCGAGAACCCAATGTTGCTACTTTCCACTCTTCTACTTTTAATCACCCAAGTGAATTAAATTGGTGTTGAGTTTTTAGGGGAGACAGCATGTGGTTTGGGGGAAAAATAAATAACAGTTTCATTTCACGTCATTTTCTTGTTTAAAACAATCCTCAGCGGCTCCTGCAATGCAGAACCAGCCATCAGGCCCTGGGCCCCCGTACCTCCGCACCCAACCTTTACTTTGCAAACTTTCTTCCAGACCAAACTCAAGGGCACCCTCTCTGTGAGACCCTTCCAGACTTGCCCACCAGTAGAAATGGAAAGTCCCTCCCCGTCAGCTCTGTTACATGCATTATAATCTGCTGTGTGTGCACCTTCTCGATGCTGCCAGGGCCGCCCACCGTGCCGAAACGAGTGCTCAGTGAGCCGCCCATTAGAGGGGCCGTGTATTCTCTGATTCCCAGCCAAGCGAGGTAGGATTATATACTTACCAAGACCGCTGGAATACCATACGGTCCTATATACATTACAGGGCTAGAGACAAGAACATCAGTTTCAGTTACAAACCTCCTACTAGATATTTTCAGTAAAACGAAACAATAGTGATTTTAAAAAGAAAAGTAGTACTAAGTGTCAAAAATCTGTACTGAGTTTCTAGGCTGGTTGAGCCACAAAGATTGCTTTAATAATTTACTCCTTATTAGAGGGAAGAGGAAGAAGGAGGACTCGGGTTATAACTGATGTTTGGTTTTGTCTTCTGGTTGATATTAATGTAGCTGGTGGCAGTAGCTAGCTCCAGAAGAAGCCCCGTGTAATCTATCACCTTGCTAGGTGTCCGCCCACAGCTTTGTGAGTCGGAGAGTGAGAGTTCCTGAAGACACCAATTCTCAGATATACTCTGATACATGGGAAAACAGAACTCAGCCCTGGCGTGGGGTCTTGATCAGTTCAAATTCTGCTCACTCAGAGCCATTTTTTATAAACAAACTGTATCGAGGTAACTTTGGGATTTGGGCTCATGCTAAGTGCCTCCAAGATCTGATCAGACCACATTCAGACTCCAAAGACAGACAAGGTCACACCTGGGCTACTGTCGTAGGCAAGGGACACAAAGCTGTGTTCAGAATCCAATGGCATATGACCTCCACAGGGAAGGGCCACGCTGTCCATGCCCCTTCTAGGAAACAACAGACACCTCTGAATTGTTAGCCTAAGTGTGCTGTCTGTTCTTTGTCTTTAAGTTGCTTTCTCATTCAGTTCTTGCAATTTTTCCTTTGGGGGAAACCTCAGAGGGGGAAACAGTGAAGACCATGAGTAGAGGCCCTTTAAGATGGACAATGACTGATTTGAGGACAAATAAATACGTACACTGACATTTTTAAGTGGCAATGTCTAGCAACCAATGGAGTAATGGCTACCTCAACATCACAAACTTCATTTGGGGGGGGGGCGCCTCATGTGACCATGTGACACCCCAAGCTAAAGTCAATGACCTTGCAAAGGAGTTCAGGGCACCGCCCTAACTTCCAGGGCTGGTCCTAGTGGTAGGAACTAGGTTTCTTTGTTCTATGCACCAAGCAAGACAACACAGGGTTTATTATTTTTTTTTATTTTTTTGTTTTTTTTTAAAGATTTTATTGGGGAATTGGGGGAGGGGAACAGCACTGGGAAATCAGGGGAAGAGAAACAGACAAGTTGCTGTTGTTTTCTTCTTCAGTCTAGTTGTGGAGGACGTCGCTTCACTGGCCCATGTTGGTATTATCATTGTGCTCTTCCCGGGTGAGGCAGATCAGTCACCAGCCTCTGTATGACCACTCATAGTGGCTCTTGGCAGCTCACATCGGCTGCCAGCCGCTCACGCTGGCTGCCAGCCACACACGGTAGCTTATGGCAACCTGCTACAGCAGGGGCTGCAGCCTACCATCGCTGGCAACTCACAGCAGCCCAGATCCAGGTCGAGCTGTTGTTCATCATCTTAGCTGTAGAGGGCAGTGTCACTGGCCCCCATGTGGGATCCGAACCGGGGCCCTGCTGCTCAGAGCTGGTGTCCCAAGCCAGCTCTTAACCAATGTGCCACTTGGCCAGCGCAACACAGGGTTTTTTAAATGCTAATTTCAGTAACTACCAAGTACCAAAAAAAACAATTAAGGCCAGAAATTTCAATTGCTTAGATAAAATATTTCCTCATTAAATATTCAGTTCCTGGTAATTATGGCATTTGATACTCAGCTTCCCTGTTTTTAGAAGATGTTATGTCATGTCCCAATAACACAGTTGTAATGACACTGCCAGCTAGAGTGGAAACTATAACATTGGGCCCCTCCAACTCCCTACCAGGAAATCTTCCTAGGTGACTTCTAGTCCACTTGTGAGCCAGTCAACAGAGTGGGATATTGAAGGAAATCTAGATAAGGTTTGCTGGTGGGAAAAAAAGAAAAAGAACAAAAAACTAACAGTGTTTTGTAATAACACCTATTTAAAGAAATCACCTTATTAAAATTAATGATGATTTCTCAGAATACACAAGCATGTTTTCACTGATGCTAGTATTAGAAGACACACAGATGCATCAACAGGAAATGTTGAGCGGTATTAATTCAAAACTCATGGATGTGGGTGGGACTGCTGGGGCAAATAAATTTATTTTTTTTACAGTCTAAGAAACTGTGTGTCATGAAAGGTCTCTAACCAGTTTTTCTGGTGACTTGAACAGAATAAATACTATCGTAACAATAACTGTAAATTGTTGTCCTACCTATTCAAGGATTCAGGAAGTCAAGGAATAGGGACAAAGAGACTCAGCATTCCTCTAGAGGGCACTGTGGGTCACCTGCACAATTCAGCTTCTCCTTCCTTCTTCCCAAAAGAAGTCCGATTTTGATTAATTCTTGAGCCCCATAAGTGGCTCCAGAATTCGAGTTAGTTTGATCCCGACCAAAGCAGTGACATTCCCTGGCGACTGCTACTGGTCCAGGGGTTGGGACACACCTGCAGTTGATCCAACCAACTTCAGCCGGACAAGGGTCCAACTAGAGCAGTGCTTCTCAACCTTCCTAATGTCGCGACCCCTTAATACAGTTCCTCATGTTGTGGTGACCCCCAACCATAAAATTATTTTCGTTGCTACTCTATAACTGTAATTTTGCTACTGTTATGAATCGTAATGTAAATATCTTTTTGTTTTCCGATGATCTTAGGCGACCCCTGTGAAAGGGTCGTTCAACCCCCAAAGGGGTCGCGACCCACAGGTTGAGAACCGCTGAACTAGAGACTAGGGACAAGCACTTCCCTTCCATGGCCAGAGAGGTTCTCGACTGCTGGACATAAACACATGTCACCCTTACTGCCTTGAAACCACAAAGGGAACCAGATGTAGGATGAACTGATGCTGTGTATGAAGCAGGAGACACAAAGAGATCCAGAGCCCTCAGTGACATGGTTATTAGACTTCTGCAACAACCAGCCACAGACCCCACTTTCCAAGTACAGGGATAGTATGTCCTTAATTCAGTGTTCAGACTGATAGATTCCCCAATAACATGAGGAAACCAAGTCGGCGCATCAGCTTTGGAATGCGGAGAGACCAACAGGGAAGACCCAGCTTGGCAGTTGGTGGGGCTAACTGGTACTTATGCCTCCTTTAGTTCAAAGTATAATACCAATGTCTTAAATAAGTAAGAATCTCCTATTCGATGTATCCTGGCCACAGACAGCTGCTATGCTAGATGGGTTCTATCATTTTTTTGTTTAATTACCTGTCTGCATCATGAGAAAAAGAAAACAGGATCTAAGATAAGCAGAATTTTTAATTTGGTCCTATGGCAGAGTCTGCATTTTTTATTTGTTTTGTTTTTGCTGGCAGGAGAAGGGGATGGCAGGCAGAGAAGACCATGGATATTAATTACACACAAACATTCTACGGTTTGTTGGTAATTGTTCAGTGCCGTGAGAGCGGGTGACACTCAATGCAGACGGTAAACTGCTGCCTCCTTCTTCGATCGTGCTGCAGTTGTGGGGAAGTGTTGGAAATTCTGTGAACTCGTGCAAAAGATGAGTCTTTTGGCCCCAATCCCCTTGGCTCTAGCTTCCTACACGCCCTACTGCAGTGTCATGAGGCCCTCAGCCTTCTCTCATATCTTAGTAGGAAAATATTGGTAAGCTTGACCAGAAAGGGAGTGAGCAGGCACACGTCAACAGATGTTTTCAATGACCTCATAAACACAACGGGGAAGAGAATGATGTGCCCATGGGACTATCTCTACAGAACGCCAGGCAATCCACAACACAAAGTGTCCCCTTAACAAGATGAATATCTTGGCTAGTGCAGGACATGCATCCCTTTGCTTGTCACATAGTGAGTACAAGGCAGTTATGAGATGAGCGTAAGGCAGAGCCACGGCACCTGGCGGGACCTGGTGGCCTCTGCACCTATGAGCAGTGCACCCACAGGGAAGTCACAGACCAGGAGGTTTCAGAGGACAGGCGATGCTTCAGTGCCAGCATGACAAGCAGGAAGATTGGACACAGCTGTCCTGTACGAGGATCCTGAGCGTCAAAGGCGTGTTCAAGGCACATCACTCCAATCCACCTGGTTTAAAAATAAGTCCAAAGGGAAACCAGAGCTCTCGTTATTTCTTACACTTAACTCAATAAAAGGTGAACTGCATTCAGCATCGAAAGAGGTTTCCACAAAGGTCCTTGCTAGATGGGGAAACTGGGATGGAGGAAGGAAGGTGAAAGTCGAGGCCGCCAGGATTTGCCTCAGGGTGAGAGGTCTCCTGGACCAGAGGAGAGGGATGGAGGAAGACGTCACACTGGCTCAGAGACCTGCCTATATTCCCGGGCCTGCTATCCAGGGTCTCCGTAGGTCTGTTGGTTTCCTCTTTAGCCCTGGAGGAGAAGGCGTGTCTACGCTCAGTGAACGTCACAGGTAGGTTATAGCTGGTCTTGTCCCTCTCTCAGGGGACTCAGCTAGCTCTCCAGGGGAAGGGAGAGAAACAGACTTAAGAAGAGCTTCGCAGAAACCACAGCCACTGGGACTTCTGCAGAGAAGGCAGCCCACATAATCCACACTATGAAGCAAAGTGCAGAGAGAGTGAGGCTGGACTAGAGGAAGCCTGCTGCTGCTGTGCCAGGATGCTGAAGGGACAAGGGACACAGCCCAGCCTGGGACGTGATGCTCACAGCTTCTAAAGGGCCTAGGCCAAACAAAGGGAGCTGAATTGGCCCCAGCACCAGACTGCTGGACACAGTGGGAAGAGAGTTCTGGGAGCATCTGGTCTTGGAGTGCCAGCGAGCCCAAGCTTAATTAATTTGAGAATAACCATGATCCTGGGCTGCGGACACAACCTATCCCCTCACTCCAACAGAGCAGGGCCAGGCACATCATTAGAGGCAGAGACAGAATGACAGCTCTCTCCTCGGTCCCTCCCCTGCCCAGTCCTCCTAAGAATGGAGCAGGACACTATAGAACCTCCTGGATAAGCCTGGTACAGCCCGGGAGCAGGGCGGCCCTGCCCAGCTGTCTCAGGATGGGGCACATGGGACAAGGTTTTGAGTTGGAGATAACAGAGTCCACCCTGACAAGTTTAAGCACAAAATGCATTTACTAAGCCATATAGATGGTTCAAAGAATTACTGGAAAGTCTGAAGAAAGAGACTCTAAGCTGAGACTATAAGAACAATCCCCAGATTCATACCATAGAAATGGTGATAAGGAGCTGTGGTCTCTGCCACCATCAGAAAGCCACTGTCTCAGCTGCCAGCCCCCAAATGACCCCTCCTCTATCATGACCTCTCAAGCCAAATAGACCCCGATATAACTCAGTGCCCAAAAAATATTTTCCAGGGCACATCTACCCACTGGAACCTGCCTCACAAGGCTGTCCCCTAGTATGAAGGAAGCCTGGATAACACAAGGGCGCTGAAGGCATTTTTGGATTCTAATTGGAAAGTAGGGGATTACATTGTAAGGAACTTTCAAATGTCAAGGAAGTTGTCCAGCCATTTGTCCAGCCATGGATGACAAGGGATTTACTACTTTGTGTACCCTACAATGGGCTAAAAAATTATCAAGACTCCAAGCCCTAGAAACAGCACATATCATGTAAGAAATAATGGAAGCCCTTTCATCTTTGAAGACATAAAGGCCACAATTGCTTTATCAACTTTCCATTCCCTAAAGAACAAAAACACATAATAATTAATCTGAAGTATTCAGATTGACAGGGCCAGTCGACAACCACATTTTTCCTGAATTTCAACTTAATTATCTTCACTTTTCACATCTAAGAAAGCATGACTGCGATTATACACACTAAGAGCTAGATACGAATATCAACAGTGCCTCCTGGGAGCTGCCCCCGCCCTCCCACCCGCCTGCCCCGTGTTTAAACGTGAATACCCATGCACAGACTAGCAGCCAGTCCCAAACCCACATGTGGTACAGGTTCATTTTTGATCATTATTGACAACCAAAGTCATCCCTGTTGCTAACTGAGTCCAAGAACAACAGTAACAACGTTCCTGGGTGTAGAGTTTTCAGAGCATCTGCGTGCCTCCCTCAGTGTCACGATTTGATTCACCTTATTCTGCAGGCGAGTGAGAAGAAGCACAGAGGTGGAGGGGTGAGTCTAACGGGGCCAGAAGGTGACGGAGCAGAAGCCAGAGCCTTCAGGTACCACTCCCGCTCTGGGTCCTCCTGCTCTAGCACACACCGTTCTGGCTAAAAACTCATCTGAGATCCATCAGTTATAACGCACGGAGAAATCAAAGTTGATCCACACATTAAAAAAAAAAAATCAAATAAATTCTTACTTGTTGACAAGTGGAATACTAAGGGCCCAGCCAGCAGCAAAGTCAGGATATTTAAAAATGGTAGGATTTTCAGAAAAGGCATAATGGTGAATGATTGTAGACTCCTCATCATGTAATGCTTTTCCTAAAAACCATTCCTGTTAAATAAAGATATGAAAGGTCATTTTCTTAACAAACCACTTCCTGTAAGACCAAAACAAAGCCATATCATTATTTTTAGCTAATTACATATTCTAGGTGATAAAAAATTAGCAGATTATATGTTTTTAAAACTTTTAACAAAAATAGATACTCATATAATAATGAACAGAACATAATCTTTGTCTATGAAGAGAATACTTTAGGGCCGGCCGAGTGGTGCGTTGGTTAAGAGCTGGCTTGGGACACCAGAGGGCCCCGCTTCAGATCCCACATATTGAGGGCCAGTGACACTGCCCTCCACAGCTAAGATGCTGAACAACAGCTCAACCTGGAGTTGGGTTGCCATGAGTTGCCGGCGATGGCATAGGCTGAAGCCCCTGCTGCAGTAGGTTGCCATGGGCTACCATGTATAGCCAACAGCCAGCGTGAACGGCCAGCAGCCGCCGTGAGCAGCTAGCCGGTGCCGTGAGCAGCCGTCCAGAAGCTGGCGACTGATCTGCCTCACCCGGGAAGAGTGCAATGATGGTGCCAACTTGGGCCAGTGAAGCAACGTCCTCCACAACTAGACTGAAGAACAAAAGNTGATCTGCCTCACCCGGGAAGAGTGCAATGATGGTGCCAACTTGGGCCAGTGAAGCAACGTCCTCCACAACTAGACTGAAGAACAAAAGGAACAGCAAGTTGTCTATTCCCATTCCCCCAATTCCCCAGTGCTGTTTCCATCCCCCAATTCCCCAATAAAAATCTAAAAAAAAAAAAAAGAGAATACTTCAATATGAGGATGAACAATATGAGGAAAATGTTAGTTGTTATTATAACATAAATATATAATAAAAGTGATATTTTATACAATATTCCATATCAAAATACTATGAAGGCAAAGAAAAGTTTCCTTTATGCCCCACTGAGGTTTGTAAAGATGAATTTGAAAAATTCCTTCCAGAATCAGTGCCTATTTTATTCATTTCTCCATTCATTCATTCTTTCAATTAGAATTTATTAGCTTACCAATTAGCATTTAACAAAGACCCCACACCAAGCAGACACACAGCTTACACAACAGTGGGGAAACATAAAATAAATTTGTGAGTAAATAAAGTGAGTTCAGATATGTGCTATGATGAAAATAAAACAGAGTGACTGGGAGACTGCCCTGGAAAGAGGTAACAATTGAGGAGTATGTGATACCCAGGAGCCAGCTGGAGCAGTCAAGGCAGTTCATACAAAGGCCCTGAGGTGGCAAAGAGCTTGACACATTAGATGAAAAAGAAATCCAGTGTTGTTACTTTCTTGGGTGTGAGGAGACATGGAATGAAAGAGAGCGGCAGGAGACAAACCAGAGTAGGTTTCAGACACCAGTGGAAAGCACCATATTCTAAGTGAGGTGGGAGACTTCCACTTCTGGCCACAACAGAGCAGCCTGGGTCAGACCTGCTGCTCCACCAGGAACAGGTACAAAAGCAGAATTACTTAATGCAGATGACTGAGGGCATCAGAAAACAAGACAGATAGGAAGTGAGGGCTAATCTCCCAAAGAAAAGGGGCACCCATCCATGGGAACCCCATATTCACCGCCTTTACCCTCAGGAACTGGCTGGTTCTCAGGGCAGAGAAGAGCACAGCATAGGAGGCAGCAGCTGGGGATTCTACCACCTCTCGGGACGGAGACAGGCTGGAGCTGGAGGCTGCCGAAAAGGTAGAGATTTAAGAGGATTCCAGAGAAGTGAGGCCCAAATTCCCCACGTGATTTCCCTTCAACTCCTAGGCTGTAGAAAAGCCAAGGTTAAAACCAAGAACCAAGTGGAAAGCAGCAGTGGAGAGGCTAAAAAGCTGAGGAAGGACTTCAGCAGGGAAGGTGGGGAGCCCAAGGGTGAATGAAGCACAGGGTCTGTAGGAGGGGAAGGGTGGGGGGGAGAGAGGCCTACAAGTAAGGGCACAGACCTGCCCAGACAAGGTCTACCACCCAGAAAAACATTAAATCCTCCTGTAGGAAAGGATATCATCCAGAACCTCTTCAATTTTTCAATGAAATATCTGATATTTAGTAAAAATTACCAGGCATGCCAAGAAACAAGACTAGACTGAAAACAAAGTGAAAAATGAAAAATAGAAAGATGCACAGATAAATCAGATTTTGCAGTTATCAGAACATACTGATTCATGTTTAAAAAAATAGATGCAAGATGAAGAATTTTACGAAAGTACTAGAATATAGAATCACGTGGAAATTCTAAAACTGAATAATGCAGTGACTGAAGTATGGAGTTCAAGAGGATATTAGACACAAGAGAAGAGGGGATTAGTGACCTGGAAGGTGAGTCAGTAAGAAATATCCAGATTGATATACAAAAAAGAAAACACAGGAGGAAAATACAGAAATGGGCATAAGAGCAATATGAGACACAGTGAAAATGTCTAAAATATATGAAATTGAAAACCCAGAACAGAAGGTGAAGGAGACCAGACCTGAATCAATACTTGAAGAAATACAGGCTTAGGATCTTCTAAAACAGACAGAAGTCATCAAGTTATTCAAGGATTCAAGAAGCTCTAAAAACTCCAATCAAAACAAGTACAAAGAAAACTACACATAGGTGTATGCTGGTTGAGAAACCATATAGAGAAAATCTTAAAAGCAGCTAGGGGGTAGTATACACATTTCTTTCAAAGGAGCAAAAACGACATACAGTTGACTTTTTAACAGAAATGACAGAATATGGAAGACAGTGGTACAACACCTTTGCAGTGATAGGAGACAATTTCTGCCACCCAAAAATGCTGTATCTAGTGAAACTATTTCAGGTGGAACGGCAAACCCTGGAAGTTTTTGGACAGGTGAATTATGATCATCTGAATTTAGAGAGCCTACATTATTAGGATGGTGAGAATAGAAACCAGGAGACCAGCTAATAATGATAGCCTGGACCTGAGTAGTAGAATGAATATGGAGAGCAGATGAATGAAAGGTGTGTTCTGGAGGTAGGCTCAACTGTATATGCCAACAGGGGGCTGATGGAAAAAGAGGAGTCAGTCATGAGTCCTAGGTTTTTCATATGAGCAACTGGATAGACAGTGATACCATTTCTGAGATGGGGAACACTGAAGATGGGAGGAGTCTAAAGAGTCACTAAGATTTGGTTTTGAACGTGCTGCGTTTGAGGCTCCTATTAGACAGAGAGGTGGAGGTACTGAGTGGGCAGTTTGATAGAGGAGAAGGGAACACAAGGCTCCTTCCCTCTCGTTCCTTCACACTCTGCTCAAATGTTACCTGATCAGTAAGCTGCTCCCTGAACACCCTACGGATCAGTAAACCCACCCCCAGTCTATCCCTTATCCCTCTTACTCCACTGTGTTCTCTCCATAGCCCTTATGGCCATCTGACACATTGGTTGCATTTTGCTTATTGCTTATCTCCCCTGCAACAAGAATATCCCCTGCTGTAGGCAGGGGTGTTGTCCATTGTGCTCATTGCTGTATCCCCAGAGTACCTAACATTATAGTTCTAGGTGCTCACTGGTGTTTGGAAACGAATGGAGTGCGACCAGGAGAGCTTTAAAAGGCAACCACCCCAATGAAGGAAACTAAAGCATATAATTTAAATCAAATACCCTAAGTTATAAAAGTTGTACACATTTTCTCTCTTATCCAACCATGGCCACCTCACTCCCTATTCCTCATCAGAAAATGAAAGCAGGGGGGATACAGTACTAGTTCTTTTTTTTTTTTTAAGATTTTTTATTGGGGAATTGGGGGGATGGGAACAGTGCTGGGGAATTGGGGGAAGGGGAACAGACAAGTTGCT